CCTCCACTGTCTGCCCCGCCATTAAAGCCAAATTCTCTCTGACACGGTGGAGATTGCTCTGTCAGAAATTTCATCAGCCAAAGCGGCTTCAAGTGCCGATGAATTACTGCTTATAGGGAAAGACAATGACTCGTCTTTTTTTTCCACTGATTGCCTCTGTCAGAGGACGAGTGCCACAACACATCCCTGTATCCTCTAAATCTCAATAAATCTATATTTTGAATTTGAAGTTAAAAACCGATTATAAGTTTTACTGAACTTTTAAGAACGGCAGAAATTGGGGTGATTTATGACCCGGCGTTTCCCCAGAGTTAGGAAAAGAAGAATCACATATGAGACTCTGGCAGACAGGTGCTCACTTCCAATGATGTATCTGTCGTCACTTATCCACATTGACTCACAGAGGTCTGGGTCTACGGACGCTGGTGTGTTTTCACTCTGAAAATGGTCATTAAATAGTTATTGGTCCCTGAGCTAAACTGTGGTGTGCTTCAGTCTTAGTGTTCGTATCAGTCTGCAAGTCTGCTCTTCAGTCACGGCACCATGTTGCAACTTTCAGCACACAGCCGCACAAATCTAACACAATGACAAACATGTATGCATGTTCACGTAAAAATAGGATGGGCTCGTCTGTCTTTTGACGTGTTTTCAGATTTTTTTTCTTGCTGTTAAAGTGAAGCTCAACAAACTCCAAACACACTTCCCCCAAAACTTTCCTCTCCTTCTAATCCAAGAAGAAAGAACAGGATGTATCAGGGTCTATTTCCTGCAGCATCAAGCTGCCTGTGGTGGCTCAGCTCAGGAGGAGGGTCTGTGATAAAGAGCTGAGAGCAGCAGGAGAGACCGGCAGAGCTCAGAGCTCAGGGCAGAGGAGCATCCTGGTCATCCATCTCTGGTTTCAGGATCCAGAGAGTGCTGACAGGTTTGGGTCCCCTGACGCAGGCCTTAACCACGGATACCCAGACAAACCAAGAGCTGTCACTCAAACTGTACCAGCCAGACAGAGTCACCAGAGACAGGATCGTGAGATACCAGGGGTGGGTGAGTGTGTGTTTTATATCATTTATATCTTTATGTGTATCTTGATACTGAAGTTCAAGCGTAAACTGAAGGCGAAGAAAAATGCAGACAATATCAGATGAATAAAGAGGGTAGTGACAGAGATGCAATGAAATAAAAAGAGGAAATAACAGAGATTTAAAGCACCTATTATCCTGGTTACCAGGGTAACAAGTCCCAACCCTATCAGGATATACTGTAGGTTCTCCCAGGCTTAGTTCCAAACATAACCAGTCTAATCTTGTGGATGGCAACAAGTAAAAAAAAATTAAAAAAACAACAACAAAAAAGTAAAAAATAGTAAAAATTATTTGTGCCCCCAAAACGTCTGCACATTGATAAATTGTTGGGAGCAGAACAAAAACAAATAAAATATTAAAATGTCTACCTTGGAGAAGTCAGCGGGGGCTTCCTCTTTGTTCTACACCCTGGCATTGATTTCTCCCAGTGGCAGAGAGTGTGATGTCTGAAGGTTAGACACACACACACACACACACACACTATGTAGATAAATGACTCCTGAGCGCTGGAGTTTGATCCAAATGAAGCAATGATGTAGCTCACTGGTCTGAGCCACATTGGAGTAAAGAGTGTCATCTAGTCAAATGTGAGTCAGAGTGTGTGAGTGTTTGGTAGTGGTGAGGTAGGAAAAAAGAAAGCGGTATACATGTATGTCTTAATATGTGCCATATAGTGTAACTACAGTAGTAATGTTTACGCTTTCCTCCGCTCTCCATCACATGCCTCAGGGTGTTCTTGGCTGTGCAGTGCAGCAGAAAATGGCCTGAGAGGTTTGGAAACATTTTCCCCTTACAAGCTGGGCAAATCAATATCATCTCGACTGAAGGAGTAACCCTACATATGAGGTTGAACCGATCCAGCATTTTCAGCTGCCTAGTGGGGGGAAAGAAAGAGAGAGGGAATGGAAATGATTATTGTACAAGCAGAAAAATGCACAGTAGTGTTGAAAATGCTCAGTGGAGACCGAGCTGCACAGTTTTACAGTCTACATGTGGAGAAGGAAACAAGTGTGCATACACAAACTCCACAGAAAACTGTACTAATCTAGGGCTGGGTGATATGGCCTCAAATCAATATCATGGTATTTTGAGCAGTTCAACTCGGGCTGCTCACCTCGTCTACTTCAGCCGCCGCTCCAGCCGCTACAACTTTTGAACCGTCCTCCATCTCCTCACCTGTCTTTCCCTTTTTGTTACGGACTAGATGGGGTGGAGTCACGTCTCCAACGTAGGACAGCGTCTAAAAGGGACATGAGACCATAGCCTACCTACACACATCCAAAACCAACTTTCATTTATTTATTTTTTTGACACCGAATATATTGACAAGTGGCAAAATGACGTCGGTTATTGTCGGTATTGGTAAATTTTGGTTTATCGCCCAGCCCTAATGGACACATCTGACATTTAAAGCCACTTTTCATTAAAACACTCCAAGAGATGAGCAGTCAGACAGTCAAATAAGAGAAGAGCATCAAAAGCAACAAAATGTTCATTTCCTCAAGAAAACCTTCAGTGAATTAATGCCGGTGGTGATCAAAGCTGTAGACTGGATGAATCCATGTCAGGTCAAGTAAGCAGCATATTAAACACACAGCCAACTGAGCTGATAGAGAGATCTGGATCCATGTCAGTGAGAGAACTGGCACCATGAGGATCTCCGATTTTAGACTGAGTGAAGCAAACAGTCTATGAAGTGAGAGACTTCCTGGAGGCGTAGCTGAGAAGAAAGTCATAAATGAAGGAGCGGGGCAGAGGGAGAGGAGCTGTTACTTTGATGAAAACGAGAAGAGATGAAATGCTCACTGATAATTACTTATTCTGAGGAGAGTTTAGGACTCGAGATGATTTCAGCGCGAGAACTTCTGAAGATGAAATGCTTCCCGCAAAGAGGGGAATCATCCAAAAACTGAAAGCGTGGGCTGTTTCCGAATGAGTAAATGAGTGATTTGGAGCTAATGATTCAAAATAAGTCAAACATTGGTGAGATCTTTGAAACACAGACTGTAAACTGCAGCAAGAAGACCATCCTTTACATCTCAGAGGCTTATATACTCTAATTTAAATCATAATAAGGAATAGACGAGCTTAAGGGGGACATAGAAGGACGTATGTGTCCCAATTTGTCAGGATGCAGTCTTTCTTTGGGGTCCCAGCTGGTTGAGTGTAGGGGTGGGAATCACTAGTGGCCCCACAATATGATATTATTGCGATTTTTAACATTTTGCAATACAGTGAGTATTACGATGAAATATATTGCGATTCAAAATATTTTTCAACTGTTTAGCTGAATTAGCATTTATGTTTGTCTTATATACGCTGTGTTTTATTTGCAAACCTTATATAAGTATTTGTTGCACTAAGTAAATGAGATGATACGATACATCATCAGACAAAATATCTCAGTACTATGCTGTATGAATTTCCCTTAGAGGATTAATAAAGTACTTCTTACCGATTTTTTTCTCCCACTCCTAGATGAGTGTTGTCTTATTATCCAAGACTGTCCATATATTAACAGTCAAGGCCTGTATCTCAGTCATAAAAATCATTCTATGCTTTCTGTATCTGTTTGTAGACACCAGAAGAGTCAATGCTTATTAATATTCACATTTTCAGACATGCATGTTTGACGCCAAGGTCATTCTCCTGTTATCTATACTATTTAATATCTAATTCTGCTGCCATCATCCTCCACGCTCTACTCCTATAGATTCGATAAGGAGAAACCAGCCAAAGCTGAAGCTTCCTTTTGGACTTAATTAATTAGGAGTTGATAAGATTATATTAAGGAAATATCTTTAAAGTGTCTGAGTTCAAGTAAAAATTAAAAGCCTGATTCAATTTAAACACAAGACAAGTCAAGAAAAAGAGTTTGGCTCTTTCTCCACAGTGTGTGTTAGCTTCCTCAGTCTCTTAGAGGAAACTGGGTTCTGGGTCAGAGAGAGTTTTCCCCACGGATCAGGGATCATCACCCGCCTGTGCAAACCTCAGCAGATACCCAGACAGTTCCTGTAAAGTGCTGCTCATTTTACAAAATCACTGCACTTCTCTGGTGAACAATCCTTGATATACACATCCAGCTGCTGACAGGAGCCCTAAATACTCTCCAGCTATGATTCATAGACATTGGTTAATTTGATCAGGGACCACCTGGACTCAGCTGTAATAAACTGGAAACTATCTAGTGGATTTCATATCAAATCACAACCAAGAGGAAAATAAAGCAACAAAGCTGACCGAAGCAAGAACAGGCATGTCTGTGGACTGTCTATGTCAGGATGAGACATCGTGTGATGATGCTGATTAATAACATGCAAAACAAAGTATGTAGAAATAACATCAGTTATTGCAGTATCACTCTAAAATGTCATTAAAATGTCATTTTTAGCTATGTATTGTGTATCCTATTGTATTGTGAGACGCTCGCAACACCCAGGAGTGTTTTGGTTAAAGAAACATGCCTCCTCAACTTGAAAACTCTCATTAACAAAACATATAAAAGCGTCTAGTCAGAATGAAGCAACATTTAAACTCAATATCAAACATTTACTGTTGTTGATAATGGAAAAGAGAAGCTATTGGCCACAAACAAAGATAAAAAAAGAACTACCTTTGTTTTTATTTTACATTGACCCGGAAAACACTGATATAACTTTGCCCAAGCCCTCTTAATTGCTAAAAGCTTTCTACTTGCGAGCCAAAGATAGAAACTGCAGACAGATGGTAGATGAAGAAAAAGCAGATCCTGCAGACCACCTGAGGGGAATATAAAAGGTTCATTCTGGTTCGACTAATTTCTTCTAAGAATAGAGCTGGGTGGATAAATGATAGAAATATCTCAGAGTAGATATATGAGAACAAGGAACATTATCGTTTTACTGTTTTTAAAATTTCAATTATGATAGGACTAAAAGGGGACAGAGGAGGAAGATTAGGAACTGATGGGTTCTCAATCAGTATGCATGGAGGAGGACTTCTTCAGTGTGAATTCTTGTTTACACTTCCTCAACAGTGTGAGGATTTTAAATGATGCTTTTCAAGGAGAGTTGAAGACAGCTGCTGAAACGAATGCTCAGCCTAAAGGTCAAGAGATGTGATCACTCACAGAGGCCTATCACCGTATTAATCAATCAGACCTCATAGGAGCCAGAGAACCAATTTTTGTGGTTAAGAGCTTGGCTGAATGTAGGTAATCATCCCACGATTTAATACGTGTATGAGCTCTGTCATCTCTGCTGGAAGAATTCTTTTAATAACCATCCAAAGAACCGACAGCTGCCTCTCAGACGCTGATAAACTGGAAAAATGCGCTTTTCTCTACCTCAACAATAACCAAAGTTAGACTTTTTAAAAGTCCATTAAGACATCCTGAGATGCACCGTGTGCACATGTTCCCAAATTTCCCAAAGAATGAGCTGCCGCTCTCTGCAGACAGCTATAATTTGCGACAGGGAGGTATCCAAGTCAGAATTTGGCAGATGAGTCTTTTGAAGTAATTCAGAGTAAATTTTCTTGCTGACCCACTGACTGCAGATGATAAGAAGGTACAACCAAGTCCTTTGATAAGACTCCCTGTTGGGAAATTAATTTTCAGCCGGAGACATCTGGTCCCTCACAGATTGGCGATGTAATGAAGGTTAAAAAGGAGTTTTCATGGCGAGCGCGGAAATTGGATCCTTTCAAATGCGTTTTCAAAGATCAGACGGCAGGCAGACTGTTGCTGCTTATAATGTCAGAGTGTTTTTGAACCGATGCCGTACAGGGAGCTGCTGCTCTGTGCAACAGCTTGACCCTACGGCAAAAAAAGAGGAAATTAGACTTCTTGTTATGAATCGGCTCAGAGAGCGGCAAAGAGGAGGGGGAATGATTGGTTCTTCTTTTATTTTACACGATATAAGGAATGATAGTTTAGTCTGTGCTTGTTTCAGATCAGAACAGTAACTTATCTGCTCTAACAAACACAATGATAATCTGTAATAGTATTTAACGCCAAACATAATGTCTTATCATGTCCAGAGCACAGACACAGTGTGGAATGACTTGCACGGAGGGGACGCTCAGGTGGAGATATAAGACAGCTGACATGACAGATTCACTATGAGCCCTGAAACGTCTGCGTGATTTCATCAGGCTGCAGGACTTCTTCACCAGAGAGGAAACGACGGCAACAGAGGGCTCAGACAAACCACGGCTGACAGGATTTCAGGATGAAGAGATTGGATGGAGATGCTGTGCACTTTTCAGCTTTTTCAATGTGTCGTTTAGGGGTTTGAGTCGGTAAATTAAATTTGAATATTTACACGAAAAGTGCTCCTCTTATGTTGGACATCCTGAAATTAAGCAGCGAGATTAAGAGTTTAATTTCAGACCGTGTGCAGTTTTTATACTAAAGATAGTGAGTTTTATCTTGAGTAAAAACTCATCTCACCACAAATTTATGAGCACTATTCACATCATAGTTTCATACTTTAACTCCACCTTGTGATGTGTTCCTGCTTTAGTCCCCGAGGCTTTCATTCAGCACCACCCTGAGACTTTCCTCCACATCTAGAGCAGCAGATCAGTTGCCAGCTGATGACACCTTTTTCTCGGGCGCTACTAAGAGACATGTCCCCGTCCTCACAGGGAGCTTGTCATGCGTCATGTCACGAGGAAGCCCTGAGAATGATCCCTACAGACAGCTCTGGTTGACTGTCAGAGGGGCCGGGTGTAGACATCCAGCATGCTGCTGTGCATAAGAGCTAATGAAGAGGCAAGTCTTCTTTATCAGACTTTTTAATACTGAAAATATGGTTTTAAAAGGAAATCGCAGCATTTCTTGGTTCCTTAAGAGCTGAATTATACAAAGTCTGGTGTCACATTCAGTGGGTCTTCATCATCTTGTGATAGTGTTGTGTCGTTCATGAATGATTCGTTCAAAAGAACAACCGCTGAGTGAACAACGTGAATGGAATCACACCAAGACTTGATTCGTTCCTTTCTCAGTTCAGTTGAGCACAGCAGCGAGCATGGCATGCCGGTCAGGAGTGGAACTGCCACCTTTGACTCCTTGGCGAACGACACAAAGCCAGCCAGCCAGCGAGTAGTCTCGTGATTTGCTTGCAGTGAATGGACGACATGTATCAGTCAGACTGTGAACGAAACGAACGACTCCTGAACAACTTGAGGCAGGCAGAGGAGGGAGAGGCGTAGCTGCGTTCACGAACTGACAAGCACCGGTTCGTTCACTGTGAGTCTCTCCACTTTTTCGAGATGTAAAAGAATGACAACTCGCGCTTGTGTAGTGGATGTGCCACTTTCTGCTGTGTTGCATCACGATGCATCACGATGCAAACGTTGGCAGCACATAGAGAGGTGAGTTTTTCAAGGCAGGGGAATGATTCTTCCTTCACGAATCAGCAAATGAAATGTGTCACCCAGTGAATGACGCTGTGACTTCTTTTGGATCTTTTGAACAAATCATTTTATTGAACGGATTCTAAAGATTCAGTACAGTCCAAAGAACTGTTCTTCCCATCACTATCTTGTAAAGAATCTGTTACTAAAATGAAGCTTAACAAAAAGAAAGAGTGTTATTTTTCCACATCAACTCCTGCACCTACAGGTTTGAACCACAGCTATAAGAACACAATGAGTCCTGTTCATAGACACACAAGTTGACCCACTGTCTAACACACAGTCACACAGCTCATCCCACCCCCACTCATCATATCTGTGTTCCCCTGTCACCTCCCTCAGGGATCAAACGAAGTGTGTCGGTTTAATCAGTCCTCTCGGTGTGCAGCCCCATTAATGTGATCATATTTCATTAGCAGGGCGAAGACCACCAGAGGAGTCCGTACATTCCCGGGGTCCTGCGCTCCAGATGTAATTGTAACTTTCACTGACCTGAGATCAGACTCTAACCCCCGTGACAGCTCAGGGACCAACCTGACCTGACTCGCTGACAGAATTGTGAGGAGGAGAAACCGAGCCAGACAGAGCTCGTTTTTGAGGACGCAGCAGGGAAGTCAAGCAGAATTAATAACAAGGTATATCAAATAATTCCAGACCATCAACCCCGACTAAATCAGGCCAACGGCAAGTAGGCACAGAGAAAGAAAGGATCAAGTGCTGTGAAACAACAGGAACTAGTCAGCAGATTAATTCATGTATATTTTATGATATTTAACAATAATAGCATTAATATAAAAACTAAAACACTAGGCAGGACATAACCGACTCATATCTTATTGCACTTTCCACTCACGCTGTGTGGTTTGTCTGTTGCATAGTAAAATGTTTATTAGGACGCGGCATAATGAGCTTTTCATATCTTAGCGTACCTTTGGTCCCCGGTGGATGAGGGGGCTCATCACAGACAAATTAGATCTTCAGAGTGCTGCTGTCTGCACCTGCAGGAACAATAACAGCAGATGAATAAGGCCAGTATCTGAAGCAGAAAATGAAATGAAAGCATCCATAAATCTGGCACTAAAAGTCTTGTGCACACCATCATTAAAAGTACAAAAGCAGGCGTGCTGTCACTCAAACATACTGAAAAAAAAAAACACATTCATGTGTGAAACAAAGCAGCAAGAGATGTTATTGCATATTTTTTTGGTCCAGAGAAAAGATAAATGACTGCACAGAGAGTCATGAGCCCCTTCACGATTCTGAATGAACATTAGAGGTCACTGATGGGTAACACCTCTGTGGAAAAAACAGAAACTAATCAAAGATCAGCTTGACTTTAGAGCCGCTTTGATGACCCAGAATAGATTTTTCATTTTTGCCTCTTTTCGAAAAACCACAAACTGTACTTTTACCATGATTATTTTAGGGACACTTTTCATCTTCTATCGAGCTCCATAGAACATTTTAAAAAAACAACATAAACACATATTACGTGGATATTTCGGGGACATATCACTCCTTCTCCTTCAAAATAAAAGACTGTTGATATTGTCATCAATGAAGCTTTGTTTATCATGCTTTCAATCACACACATCCATGTTTATATCAGTGATCTATTGATTTTTAAGTGACTTAATGAAATTAGTAATAACCTCCAATATTTCATCACACACTGTCTGTATCAATAGCAACAGCTGGACCCCTCTGACAGGCACCAGGAGCAAATTCCAACAAATTAAAAAATGCCTGCTCTCATTATTAACTCCTGCCACATGTCGCGCAATAATTACAAATAAAATAAATGACCCTGGTATTTCAACGGGAAAATCTACTGCCAACATGAATTAATCCAAACTGGGTTTTCTGCAGAGCATGCATAAAACCCATATTTATATAGTCCTTGGAGAAATGAATGGAAGCTTTGATTAACAGATTTTAAACAGGATGCTTTAACAGATGCACATCACAGCCCTGACAAACATTTGGTTAATGTTTCCTCTAAACTCACTCTGTTTATGCAGATCAGAAACTGATTTAAGTCGCTTTCATGAGCTCTTCTAGTAGTTGTTGAACCATTTATTTCTTCCTGGGAACAAATGATTCAGAGTTTACAGCTGCAGACAGAGCAGATTTCACAAAATAAAGTAGATGGTTTGGAATTAAGGATCTCTGATATTACTACATGCAAGCAAATAAAAAATCCTTAGTTTGGATTTGTCTTGATTAATAATAATATCAAATGATTGTCAACACAGGATCCTGCATGTCAGCCTCTATACTCCAATCTACAAAGCTAACAAAGTAAAGCAGCAGCCACTCAAAGGTAGAGGAGTTGCATGAATAAATCACTGCATCCATTGTTTCACTTAACAGCCTGTCAACATGGTGGAAGATTTGAACTTCCACAGAGTAACAATGTACATACAGACAAGTTTTGCCCATAATTGGTGTTATCTCTCAGATGTAAGAGCTGCAAAGCTTTGTATTTGGTCACTTAAGTAAGTTCTGCACTAATACTACTTACTGTATATTAGCTTTCACCATTTTTACTGATTACAGTTAATCTTATAGTTTGGCTTGAGTGTGCAGGGACATCCACAAATTGCAATATTGACAAAAGACACTGCAGAAGAATCTAACCGTCCTCCTGTGTCCACTGACCCGTTTTTGATTTTAAATGCTTAAAAGAACCTTAAATTAGCTTTTTTGCGTCAAGACTTTTTGACTTTGTCTGGAACCTCTGTTTCAACAAAATAAAAATAACAACATTGAATTGACTAAATTATAACATGCTCTTATTAAAATTATGGCACTTGTTGTGTTAGGGTTACTGTTGACCCGGTTAGATCAATATCTAATAATAAGAGCAAAAACTGAAATCATAAGTGCACTGTCAGGCACCACAATTACAGTCAGATCCTCTTCCAATCATGTGAGATTTAGGAAATTCTCATTTTGCCTGTTTTTCCCTGCACAAAAAAACAATGTTGAGCATGTCCAGACATGTGAGATCAATTCAGTCTAGATGTATGTATGAGGGGTATACTGACAGAGGCCCACTACAAAAACTATTATAAGCAAAATTATCATGGAGAATGAAGCCAAATAAATTAACCTAGAGATAGGAACCAAATTGGATGATAGAGAATTGTTTTTAGTGTAATTTACAGCTGATTTAAGACACAGGTCAAAACCGACCCTTAACATGGTGGGTGCATAGTAAAAGCTAACACAGGAGGAAGGTGAATGTCTCCATCTTCAAAATCATTGCACATGAATGCTGCCAGACCTTAGTGAATGATACTGTCAAATAAAATACTTCTTGATTTCTCTAAACTGTTTTAAATCTCCGCCGTGGCATGAGCATTAAAGTTTAGAGAATTTTGAGAGCATTTGGGTCTCTAATCTGGGAAACTGACAGCTTTTAGAAAAATAATAGCATCACTGATCCTTCAGACACTGTGTTGAAGAGGGCAGCTGAACAGACGGCCTTTCATAGTTCACTGATCTCCAAAGGGCTCAGGAAGCACAGCGTTTGCTCGTGACCTTCAGAAGCCTACAATGCTTTTTAAATAACCTCTGATGATAAATATTCAGCAGCAAAGATATCACTGCCACCAAAACCCAAAACTAGAAGGGTTCTGTGGGAATAGCAGAGGAATTAGCCTACTCTGTTGGTGAGGATAAAAAAGCAAATGCATCTTTAATGTCATAAGGGGAGAAAGACAACCCACCTGTCAGTGCAGGTAGTTTTCCTCAAATGGTTTTCAGGTGGATGGCTGAAAGTAAACACTAACTTGTTAACAACAATCCTTAAAGTTGCAAGTTTTTTACAGGTGTCTTTTAAGATTTTTTTTATATATATATATTTAATCTCCAAATGAAACTTCATGACAGCAGTATCTACATGTCTGGAGCTTCAGAAAAGAGATCTTCAGTGGCCTAAAACGACTCCAAAAAGAGAGAGACACTTACTCCATGTTGCTGCCACAATGTCAGTTTGTAGGTGCATGTAGTTGCGCGTAATGACGGGAAGAGGCGCTGTAGAGTTGATGTGAGTGGTGTCAGGGAGCAATGTGGCCACACGACGTGCCAAGGCGTGAAAATACTCAGTCATGTCTTGGATTGTCTGCTCCACGGCTTGCACTGCTGGATACTTTGCCAAGTCCTGACCACTCCGTGCGCTGACCCTCAGCTCGGTGCGCAGAGAGAACACCTACCCACCAGCACATATCTGCTTCCAGACCTAATTTGTGTTCCTTTTTTTTTTTTTTTCTTTTTTTCCCCGGTATATTCATGAGCAGCGTCGCAGCAGAACAGGGACAGAGACCGGGGGACAGGAGCGGGGAGCAGCCGGGGAGGTAAGCGCTCCGTCGGTGCAGGTGGAAGCAGCCGCCACGCTGACTGTAATGTCTGCTTGTTTTTGCTTTGTTTAGGGAAGGTCATGTCAGGGCAATAGCTTTACACTACCTGTCCCATGTTGAATGAATGTGAGATGGATCATCAGCTGTGCACAAACGCTCCTGCAAAAGAGAAATGGTTTAACTTACAACTAAGCAATGTTGACGAGTATTTTCACGCCAACTTTCCCACTTTCCTTAACTATAATAGAGAAGGCTTAAATCAGAGCTGGTAGCCTACTAGACATGGTTTATTCTCTACTACATATTCAGTACAGTTAATTATCAGCTTAGATACCAAATAACACAGGTGTCAGCCCTCTCAGGTCATGGCACTGATTTCTGTGTAAGAGTCTGTTCCAGTGTTTAAATGGAAATCCAGCTGCCTGCTTGACTGCATGTGTCTCTCATCCTAAATTGAAGCACCCTGATGTTGTTATTGCATTAACTGGCTGGCTATGTTAGGCAGGAGCAGGACACACTTCTCCACTCATGATGTTTGAATACTTAGGGGGGTTTGTCATGAATCAAGGCAAGGATTAAGGGCTTTAGTCCTGGTTCTCCCTAAACAGACAGGCTGCTCTGTGATCAATGGTGTAACACAATGCATTTGCCTCAGAGCTGGGACGTTTGGCAGGGGTCTTCTCGGCTCATCTGCTGTGTTATGGAGAAATGTCTTTGCATAAACACTGTAGGTGGATGATTACACAGCAGCAGCATCAGCAGAATTATTGAGATCCAGAGATTCTGCTGAAGAAATGTGAGATTTGCTTCTAGCTGGTTGCTGTGTTCAACTTTTAAATACACTGCCTTTTATTAAGGCTTTCGAAGACAAAGCTGATTGTGGTCATCTTAAACCTTTAAGAAAGTTATTTGCCACAAAAGGTGTTTTTTCTTTATCCTTTTTTTGGATCCAGAGCATCCAAAGCAGTACCTTAAAGGGATATTCCGGCCTAAAAGTAATTTAGGGTTGAACACACAGTAACACAGAGTTAGACACCCCCACGAGAGATGAATGTTGCAGACCACTTGCTTCTCTAGTTAGTAACGACCGCACAGTAGCAATATACAGCGGTCTGAGGAGCCATACCAAAATGCCACTCTATAGCCACAAATAATGCTCAGAACAGCACCTAACTTCATCAGTACATTTAGGGTCCTAGTCACAGCACTCGCCACCAAACCTCTTCTTAGCTTTGCCTGATTTCTTTAGCAAAGAGACTAAACACAACTCACCTACTCTCTTCCAGCAGCCACTTGTTTGTAGCGAGACCTCGGGCCAATCCATTGCGGAGTGACGCGGTTTAAGGAAGAACATTTATGATCATTTCTTCATGGAAATGCAATCAGACTGAGATGCTAAGGTAGAAGAACTACCGAGTCTGCAGTGCAAAATGATTAATATGGTGATCATTACTTCAAGGAAATGATAAAAAAATGATCATAAATGTTCTTCCTTGAGCTGAGTCACCCCGCAGCAGTCCGTAATGGACTGGCCCGAGGTCTCACAAACAAGCGGCTGCTGGAAGAGAGTAGGTAAGCCGTGTTTGAATGAAGTTAGGTGCTGTTCTGAGCATTATTTGTGGCAATAGAGTGGCATTTTGGTTGAGGTTTGTGTGTGGCTCCTCAGACCGCTGTGTATTGCTATCATGCGGTCGTTACTAAAGTTGGTATAACTAGAGAAGCAAGCGGTCAGCAACATTCATCTCTCAAGGGGGGTGTCTAACTCTGTGTTATGGTGTGTTTGACCCTAAATTAATTTCACACCGGAATATCCCTTTAACTGTACCAAGCCCTGCACCAAGCTGCTGCTGGGCCAACTCTTCTGTCTTGCATTGAAAAGCTAAAAAGGCAAATCTGTGCTTAGAAGGTGGTGCAAACCAAATACAATGAATAATAAGTTTGCCCTTTTTCTGTTCAATGAAATATTTTTAGCTTGGCATGTGCTTGAATATTCATATTTTCACAGGGTTGATTTAAAAGGCCAAAGCTTTATCTGACTCCCGCGGTCAATAAACCCCAAAAGCAATGCCTACAGCTGGCAAGAACACCAAAGTACTATTACACATTAAAAGAGGAAAATTAGAAAAAAAATGAACCTTTTGCAGGACAATTATAAGAAAATCTTCAGCAGCCCTCTTTCCCGCTCCAGCTCCACCCCTGCCTTTACACACTACAGCTCTTAATGGTTGATCGATAGGTGAAGTCTCTCTGGATTGTTGCATTTAGGAAATAATGGAACCAAAAAGCCAATTTTAAGTCCAGAGCTATCAGCGGGAATAGCAACAGAGAGGATAATTGCGTATTGACAAAAGAGTGTAGAAAGCGAAGACAGCATGCAAGACCACTCTCCAATTTACTCTGTCATCCCGAGGCACTAATTGTCCTGTTTGCTGATAAATAAGTGGGGCAGCGCTTTGTAAAAACCAATCATTTAAGGGGTAAGGATACAACTTCAGAAGCTTGCATGACTTAAACTACAAATTCAATCGAGATGATGTTTCAAGGCATGACAGACTCGTGACTATCATGGCTGAATGTACTCAGTGAAATGAGCTATTTTTTCACTGCATGAGAGACTGTTATGCTTCTTTGGGTGTAAACTGATAGTAAATGGCTTGTTAGGACTTAATTACCAGATTAATCATGGTCCAAAGGACATTGATGTACTACTACTCAAACGCACAAATTAGACTTGAGCGACATTTGAGTCTTAACCTGATTAGGCTGTTTGCTTATGTGGTCAGGGTTAAATCGCAGTCTGTTTCACTTCAGTTAAATGAGAAATGAAAGATATTTGTTTGATATCAGCAAGTTTAGCCTCGCAAGAAAAACTTGTGCATACACATCCACCTGACTGAGTCCCAGACCTCTCTGCCTCTCTGTGCACCTGTAACTGAGAGTCATCTAAGGCTTCATGCTTGTGTCAAAGACAACTGAGGCCATCTGTTGCGTGTATGTTTTTATGTTATTTTTCTGCCCTGCCACAAAAACTCTGCTGACAGAACACCCAAGGGTACCTATGTGCACCTCACAGCACCTGGGGATCTGCTCACTGAAGCACCTTTATTTTTCTGCTGGCTCTGTTAAGGGACACCTGCGTTCTGCCAAAAGCTCAGACACAAAAGCAGCGATGTTTGAAAAGGGCTTTGTTATATAAGGAGCATTACACAACCTTGCCATTAACCCTAATTGGAGCAGCTTGGTGGAACAGAGAAAAACACTCAGCACTGTCAGACAGCAGAATATTCCCCTCAATTAAAAAGGAAACTGATGTCAGGCTTAGTTTAGTGAATTAAAGTATTGTTATGTTCCCTCTAGGGCTTCAGAGTATGGAGGAGTAGGTGAAGACATTTAATAACTACTTATTAAAACAAGTGAGTTTCTCTTTTTCTTTTCTGTAGCTCTGTGAATTCACTCATTGTGTCCCTATACTTTTCAGCATCATATTTGTCATGATATTCTTGGGAAACTGGCTGGAGAAACAGTGTAGGGCTTTAATTCTTGATGAATTAGATCTCTTTAAATGAAGCTCTCTTGATTTCCGTTGCAGCAGTCTAATCAGGGCTGATTGATAACCAGGATGCACAGTGAATGTGGTTAATCAAAATTGAACTCCCAGGTAGGTTAAATATGCAGCAGTGCTCTGGGTACTGTAGCACCAAGATGGAAAAACAGTGGTGGTGGCTGTTAAATATGTATTAAAATGTTGATTTTTATTCAAAATTATTTAAAATCTAATTCCCTAATGGTCCCCTAAACTCAAAGTCCTGAAGTCTGAAGCTCAACTGATGGGTGGTGTGGCATTCAGGCCAATGTTTATATGAATATCCATGGTCAATCAAACCTGTCCAACATGTGTTTCATTAGTCTGGTGGCTGTGTGCAGCTTTGTTAACATGATAGAGGAACTAACAGTTGATGAAGAAAAAAAGTCCTCATACTCGAAAACATTGTCCTTGCAAAGTTTGGACGTAGTTTGATGGGTTGTACGGAGAGATTAAGGTTGTTAGCCCTTTGTAGTAGAAGAAGTAGAAGAAAGGAGATTAGATAAATTGTTTTCACTCTTTGACATACAAGTGTTGGGACCCCTGATAACGTCTTTGTCAATTGTTTTGATGTGTTTCATACAAAGAAAGTCTGATAGTGTAATAGGGACAGTCTTAAAGTAAAATTACCTCATCAAGCTTTAACTTTAGTCCCACTTAACTGTGCTTGTAAACGTACGGAGCGGTCAGAAGAGAGAGTCGATAGATGGATGTCACAAAACTATTTCAAATTTTATCTGGTTGGCTCATTTCTTTCTGTAACAGATTTTAATAATGCTTTAATAATATCTGACTGTCCTTTTAACATCTAAACTGAAAATCATTTGTGACCTATTTGGTTTTAGATTTTTCAAACATTTTGCTCCTCATATCCCTTATAATCTTTTTGGCTTATCATCTACGGTTATAATTGATGTATTGGCAAATTTGAATTACACTCCTGTTCAAAATGACTGATATTCATGATTACAGGTTGTGCCTGTGCAGACATTTGCTCCAACTTAATGGACAGTCCTGCTGTGAGGAGATAAAGACTGAATGATGATAATATTTGGCGCTGGCTTATGGTCTGTCATGATTGATCTATCCCACCATCATTTATAACAGGAGTAGCTTTATACAAGACCTTCACACACCTCTATCATGAAGTCCAGAAGGAGTCTTCACCTGCTGACAAAACAGGAACAGCCTCAAAGAGCCTTTACCTGGACACAGCTCAGTGAAGAGACAGGACTATCAGGGGACCTCTGAGTAAATCTATGTTCAAAGCAGGAAAGTGATGCAGTTAATGATGTGACCTCTCACCCGGCCTCCATGAGCCGCTTGTCTGATATTGTCTTTGCTGCTGGGAGCAATCAGGTGTGCTGGAGGGAGGTAAAGGAGAAAATGGGGGTAAGGTCACATTTTAACAAGCCTCCTCTGCAGCCTTTTATGTAGCGACCCGTGGCCTTCACACCGTTCGCGGCCTCAATGATAGAAATGTAAATGTCACTTCTTTTTTTTACTGACACACAGAGGTTTTACTTACACGGTGTCACTATAACAGAGGGGGAACATAAACCTGCAGATATAAACACCTGCTGCACGATAGTTTTATATTATCATCTCAGTAACAGTGAAGCGTTGACTCCTGCGGTGATTAAGTCAGCAGGCACAGTAGGGGGCTGCCTGTGGTTACAGGAGCATCAGATTCTAACACAGAAACTCAATCATACACAGTAGGGTAAATAGCAACATCTTAGCAAAGCCACTCAGGCTCATAAACATAAAATATTATAAGAATTTTAATTTAAAGCAATATCGTTAACAGCACATTTTTATGAAAGAGTATTGGGGCCACATGAAGAGAAAAAATAATAATTAAGAGAAGGAGATTAAAGTAGAAATTTCGAGATTGAAGTCAAATTTTCGACATTAAAAAAATTGAAATTATATCAATAAAGTTGAGATTTCAAGATTCAAGTCAAAATTTCGAGAATAAACAAATTAAAATGATGAGATTAAAGTCGAAATTTTGATATTAAAGTTGACATGAATAAAGTCAAAATTTCAACTTTTTAAAATTTCGACTTTAATCTCAAAAGGTAAATTTAAAAAATCTCCCTCCTGTAATTATTTTTTCTCTTCTTTCATACATTTTAGCTGGAACAGGTGACAAAAAGTCTCGATTTATCCTATTATGATCAGAAGATTGTCAAAATTAAAGCTCCAGTAAGGAGTTTTTTAATATATATTTAAAGTAGACTGAAATTCATATATGAACCTTTTTATAACTGGCAAAAGTAAACCAGACCATCGGTAATTTTTAATACCTTAAATAGGTGTAAGGGGCCGGTTTAAAAAAAAAAAAAAAAAGAAGCTAGTTTAAGCTATCATGATAAACAAACAAGCTTTCGCAGGTTGTTTTTGATAAATAAAAGCCTTTAAGAGATATTTAAAATATGCTGCAAAAACACAATTAAAAATTATATCCTTTGTTATATCATTTTGCATCGCTCTTTGTCATGTCTTTTATTTCTGTGGCTTTACGTGTTACATAATGCCTTCTTTTATTTTACTTTAACGTCAACAATATTGATGCACGTTATAAAAAATCCACACTGCACATGCTGCCAAAGAGATGCGTTAAAGAGAGCTATTTCCATCCATCAGCCATCTGTTTGAGATAATTTTCGTCTGATAAAATTAAAACCCTCCAACAGGGACTCTTATCAAAGAGCTCAGATGTGCATTCACATACATTCATGTACTTTTACAGTCAATGGGTCGGCAGGAAAATCTGTTTTACTCTGGATTAATTGCCAATATCATCTGCTAGATTTGCATGTGACTTCCATATGTTAACAAGAACCTTAATGGGCATCTGCAGAGAGTGACTCATTATTGCACGTCTTTTTCTGTGCATGCATACTGGTGTTCATTAGATGTTTTATGGTGCTCACACTGCTGCTCACACACAATTAGGGTTGTTCTACTCGCGGCAGAGAATAACTTAAAGTGCGTCTTTCCTTTTTTAGCAAAGCCTGAGAAGCTGCTGTCATTTCTGAGGATTAGAGAGCCCACACAGATGTCCTCTTAGAGTTGAGAAATGAAAGCTGCTGTGCGGAATTGATAAAACTGAAGGAGAAATCACGCTGATAGAAAGTTCAGCTCGATAGATACTGAATGTGAGCTGGAAAACAGCAACATGCAGGGAGGCGCAGCGAACTTGATATGTCATCTGAAGTGTTTTTGAGGCTTCAGATGAGCTGGAATTGTTGTCTTTGGAGAATAGTTAAGGAAAAAGTTCTTACTGATCACCTGTGGAGAGACGAGCTAGTTAAACAAGGAGCAGTTGGAGTTAAAATCAGCCAACATGCGTCCCCTTTAATCTGACACAAACCTTTATTCTGTCACTGTCACTTCTGCTCCTCTCAGCTGTTTTTTATGCTCAGTTTGGTTTACCTCCTGCTTCTTGTCAAACTAACAACCGCTCACTGAGATCAGACCGACACAGGCATGTCAAACACGACATAGAGTCTCACGCTTGGAGCAAAGCATGCTGGGATAAAGTGACACATACTGTGCACTTCTAGTGTGTTGAAGTGGAAAAAGCCTGATTGAATTTCCCTTCAGGGATCAATAAAGTTCCTCTTATCTTAAGTGAGTGTCTCTGCAGTGATGTTGACAGCCTTATTATATCTTTACATGAATTTTTTTTATCCCTTTTCTTTCTGATTGATGCTGCACACATGCGGCTCTTTGCAAATTGCACATCACATAACTTTTGAGTTGCCTAACCTTGCTAAAAATCTGCAAACTGTCAGTAAGTGTCAAAAATAGCTTGAGTGGAAAACTACTCAATAAGGACCAAGCAGTAAGGTACGGGAGTAATTTCAAAGTAAAAGCAGTTTTTTTTTTTGTTTGTTTGTTTGGTTTTTTTTAAAATCCAAATCAAGATAATCAAAAAAAAAAAAAAGAAAATACATAATCAGCTAATCATAACTTCAATAAACATGACAAACTATGATGGGTCTGAATGACAGTGGCACAAATATTTCAGGAGGGCAATGAATAAATGTTTCATAAAACACAAAATCATTTAATTAAATTGAAAAATTATTTCATAACACCTGAAAACATTTTCAAAACTTCAAAAATGTTTCACATGAACACAAATATATTCAATGAAATGACAAAAAAATTACAAAAACATACAGATATCTTAAAAACAAAATATTATAAACACAAAAAATAATATCTTAGAATTAAAAACATCATTTAAAAAAATGATATTTTATTATATATTATAGTTTAAATTTTTCTAAAGCAACTTAATTTTCATGTCCAGCTTCCATCACTATCACATACAAAACATAACTCAGTTTGCCTGACTTCCCTCTGGCCTAATGACGTCTGTACTTCCTGTTGGCAAAACATGAAACAACTTTTTAAACCAAAAGTTTCCCCATCATCTCTGGGGAGTAAAGTCTGTGACATGCAGTGACTTTGGCACATCCAAAGCTCAAGAGCTGACAGGGTCGCCAGCCTGTCAGCCTCTACTCTTTTTCTTTTGTTTTTACCACTGACGCCGCTGGTGAGCTGAGAGGATTCCTTTGTTTTGGTTGTAAAAATCAATACACCGTACAGAAGGGACGAGGAGAAAGAGATGCTGCTCCCCTGTTAGTGATTCTCTGCTGATGGCTGCCATCTCCTTTCATGACTTTGCTAATCATCATCATCTCCTCTCAGTCTGGATTTGGGTCAGCAAGGCCCCTCTGTTCATTCTCAGGTCTCACTGGTAGTTTGCAGAAACATCTTTGTTGTTTAATTTGTCAAATGATAATGAAATAAGTTTGTTTTTCATGTCATTCATCAACACCATCGCTTTATATCTTGTCCTGATATGAGCAGGCTTTTCTGTTCTTGCTTTGTTTCTTTATGTTTCTCGTGATTGTTATTCGAGATGAAATCCACCACACAGTTGCCAGTTTATTACTGCTGGGTCCAGGTAGTCCCTGATCAGATTAAGCAATGTCTATAAATCACCGCAGGAGGGTATCAGGAGCTCCAGTCAGCTGTTGGGCGTGTATATGAAGAAAAGACATGCACTGTGAGCAACACTTTACAGAGACCACCTCTGACCTCAGATCCAGGACTGCTGTCTCCTCTGGTATTGGCTGGGGTTTGGATTGAGCACAGAGATGATCCCTGATCTGCGGAGAAGTCTGTGGGGGGAAAAAACTCTCTGGCCTAAAACCGAATTATCTCTGAAAGATACAGGAGGCCGACATGCTTCAGAGTAAGGCCCTGAACTCTCTTTCTGTCTTGTCTTTACATCAGAGCAGTCTCAGACCTTTTTTGTCTTACTTTTCATGAAGTTTGTGAGGAAAGAAGAGAACAGTGATTGCTGATGTAGTCACTTAATATTTGCATCAGGCTTCATTCTTAGAGGAGACACTTGTTTTACCAAAAAGCTTGTTGAAACAAAAAGAAGGTAGGAATAAGATTGATTCAGTCTACTTTAGAGTTGTGATTGTTTTTGCATATCTGAGCTTGCCGTATCAAAGCATGGACATACAAAAGCTGCAGAAACCAGATAAGTGGATTTCCTTCTGCAGCCGGAGACTTTTGGCATGTTGTATTTCAATCCTATCACGAACACTGATATGTATACATGTGCTGCTCCTCCTCCAGAGGATTGGGAGGGCTTGAAGCGCAGCATCCACCGACGATTCTCAACACTGCTGTGCATTTCAACCCCTTGCAGCAATTTTTTTCCTTCCCAATCCCTCCTCTCTCTCTCTCTCCTCGCCCATAGGCAGCTGAAACTGCTGATTCAGCTCGCCTTCGTATGGAGAGTTGCACCCTCGGCAGAAACGTTATTGATTTGTCTTGTTTGTAAGGGGGGAATGTTCACAAACCTCAGGTCATATTTTGCAGCTCTGCACACGTATGAACACTGCAAGACATCAGAGAGAGAGAGAGAGAGAGAGAGAGTGGAGAAAACATGATTAGTGAACACAGGCAGACATATAAAAAAGACAAATGAAGTTAATAACAAAGCTTATCTAGAAAATGCTGACGATCACATATATGCAGCAGCGCCCTTCTCACTGAAGGCTGCTTTGTAAGAAAGTTTGCCAGTAAATCTCAAGCTGCCCTGTGATTGGTGCCCTTCTGCTGTCATGATAAGGCCCGCCCACTTAGAGGGAAGATATGATTGGTCAGTTTTTTTGTCATTTAGAACTATTCTGTTTTTGAGCTGCTGTTTAGGCCTTCAATGATTTTATTGACAGACCACCAATCAGGGAGCTGGAATCACAGTGTTTTCTTCCTAGCAACAGCAGAAGCTGGAAATTCTGATTGGTTGACAAGTTTGTTTCTTACTTTTGAACCTTACATCCCAACACAGACTGAAAGGGCAGGTTTTTAGGGCTCATTATCTCATATTCCTCTCTGATTTTAAGACTTTAAATCTATAAAATGTATTTATAAGTATTATTTTTAGCTTTTTATGACTGTGCAGTAATATTGTGAGATACAGGAAAGGGAGAGCAGAGGTTGACACATGCAAAAATGTCATGAAATCAATTGATCTGCAAAATTCATGATGCAGGTTGAAGTTTTAGATGAACCCTCTGCAGTCTCAAGTTTGTTTCTTTGTCCTCTGCGATTTTTATTACTGTCCCAAAGCACTGCACACTACAGATCAGACATCTGTCCATCATCTGTCTCTCCTCCTGTAACAGACACACGTCTAACAGCTTAGGCAATGGTTTCACTAGTCATGGAGGAAGAAAGTACACGTGCGTTTTTCGACCACCTAAGCAGTGCAGCCGGAGCTGTGTGTGATTTCTCAACCGGCTAATGAGAATATTTGACATTTGGCGAGTCCACTGTGTGTAAGTCATTCATCACCTCACTGATTCAGCCCTCGGTGGTAATATGTTGAGCGGGATTCCCACCATGGGGCCTGAGGGTGGAGCTGAGAGGGGTATTAACATGCAGAAACACACCAGGGTAATGGAAGGCACAATTTATCTGCAGGCTGTGGGAATTGATATAGCATAATTGAGGCTCTTGATCATTAGTATTCCTAATATGTATAATAATTTCCATTAATTAACTGATGATGATTAATGAATCAAGTAAGAACACAGATTATTAGCTGGTCCCCGCTTTGAAAACAGAACTTTTTTTTTCTCCTTTATTTGTTTTACGTGATAAGAAATTGAAGTCCTTTAAGCTCTAGACTCCACTTTGCAAACATGTTTCATTTGCTTCCATAATTGAGCGCCACAAAGAGCTGCTCCATTAAGACTGACCAGCAAACACACACAGCAGCTGCGCATCCAGTTAAGAGCTCGAATGCTGCTTCCCCGCTGCATGAACTTTGATATTTGACCTTCACAGAATCAGCATTTATGCTCTCACTTAGAGGGAAGCATGTACAGACAGACATGCTGACAAAATATTTGTACAGTGCGTACGTCAAAAGCCCTCGAAATCGCTCACTGACCGTGCCATGAACCCTCCATGCAGAAGGTGCATGCATGTGCGTGTCCATCTGTGTGTGAGATGAAAACATGGTGTGTGCTGAAAGTTGCATGCGGTGAGGAAAAAACTGGTCCAGTAACCGGAGATCAACTTTGCACTCTAGATGACCCTGCAGCCATGAGGATAACAAGAGCTGCTCAGCACGGGGACCCATGACTATTTAATGATCATTTCCAGAGCAGAGGCATGAAAACGTTGACTCATAGACTGTTAACAGGACAGGGAGTGTTTTCTTGAGAGAAACCCTTTCTATTTTTACCATCTCTTCTGCTTTTATCTTATGTGTAAATTGTGTTGGGAAATAAGTCTGCAGAGCAATCACAAGATGCACAGCTTTTTAAATGTCAGTGCGTTTTGTGGGGGGGATAAGTGCTTCCCTGTAGTACTCTGGAGAGTTGGGCTATAATTGCAAGAAACCGATAGAGCTCAGCATTGAGAGGTGACATCCAACCTGGGCCTGTGCTAATATTAAACTGACATATAAAGAAAAGACCACAAGAAGCTAGAATTTAAAAATATATTGAGTTTAACAGCTTGACTGAGAGTTTCCAGAAAGAGGAAATGTGCTCTTTAAGGAGGCTGATGCACTATTTATTTGTGTCAATGCATGACGAAGGGTAGTGACTGTTTATCCTCTTTGCATTGCATTTATGACATAACTTTGTGTGTGCATACAGTAGTTTATGTGCAGCAGTGTGTAATCGTGTGTGCTCATCAGGGTGTGCCTTTAAATAGAACACATAATATACTGTAATGATTCGTCTTGTAGGAGTGCTCTAACACTCCCCGGTGTCTTTTAATGGCTCGCTAAGAGAGAATTAATTCTGTGGTTTCTGCCTCAGAGATGCCTCTAAACAAAAGCTGCTGTAGTGTTGCAGGTTTCTGACTTCCACTGTGAGTGGAGAGCATAAACTAAATGATGCAAAATAAGACTCAGTAGACAGGAAGAGTTGAGTTTCAATTTCCAAAGTCTCCGGCCCGCAAAATAAACGAAATTAATGCAGTGAGCCCTCTTTTACTTCTGACAGATTTCAGCTTATCTGATCTCTGATTGGCTCTAGTTTTAATGTATTTGCCTCAGTTGGAAACAAACACCAGTCCTTGATTTATTAGAAATTTCCCTGTACTGTGTCATTTTGACTCAAATTTATAAACAGCTCTGTTAATCACACTAAGTGATGGAAACAACTCGCTAATGTGAAACTGCATCTGAACATTATTCATCTGCATAATTTCAAAGTATCATAATTTAGTGTTTTTTTGATTTACATTTTTGGCACAAGAGGAACATCTCCTTTTAAAAGACACCACTTAAGGGGAAATCGGAGCCCAGTGAGTCAGTTCAAATGAATCCGTCTGTAATTACATGCATTATACATCAGGATCATCACAATCTTTTTTAAGTGGTAGAAAAACTGCTATTATTAATTTAACAGAACGATGGAGCTAAATGTGGAGCCTTCGTTGCTTAACAGGAGGGGTCAAGAGACAGTCCAGGCCTGCAGCATTGATGCTGGGGATCTCCATGGTGACAGACTCTCCTTGTTCTTGTCTAATAGTTCTATCCAATGTCTTGAGATAGACAATAAAGATATGGTTGTAAGAAAGCTTGACACTCAGTGTGTTTACATGCACAGTTTAATCAGACTAAGCTCATTATTTATTTTTTTCACTGAATCGCACTTCTCTCCTTGTCCCGGGTATACATACAGCTGAGGAAATCTAATTATTTACGTGAACGTGTCCTCCTCCCCAACACTAGGGGGCGATATTGGTCTTTTCAGCGGCACTGTTTCCGACCTTTTTTAAAGATGTCTCCGTTCCTCGTTTTGCGATTGTCCATATGCTTGAAAATGTCCATTTCTTTCAGGAGGAAAACCATAAAAAGTTCTTTAAATGATAGCGCCACTTCTTCTCTGGTGTTTTTGTCACAGGGTTACAGAGGCGTGGCGCACATGCATTGTCCGATCATACTCCGACTATGGTGGTTGCACAGTAGAGAAAATCGAATTCCAATCGCATTACCTGGGTGTCTTAAATAAAGTTCTCCGACTCCAGTCCAGTAGGTGCTTACGTGAACTTCAGTTGTACGGTCTTAATCCGAGTAAGGCAATGATTCAATTTTCTTGAGTGTCTTGTAAACATACTGAGTGACAGCTTTGTGTCCCTCTGTCCTTGCCTTACCTGCCTCAAGAAGATGAGGTAAACAAAGTTGTACATGACCAGACTAATCCTATGTAAGTTAAAGGCGGTGGCAGAGGTGTATATGTGTGTTGTCCCCTCTTCTTCTTCTGTCTGTGGTTGCATGTGTGTGTCGTCAGCAGAGAGAGTTGAACAGAGTACACAGAAATCTGCAAAATGATGCAGTAGGAAGTAAAAAAAAGGGGACAGCTGCCACGGGCCACAGAGAATACTCAGAGAGACACTCACACTCGCACAAACATGAGCACAAGATGTGATTGGCGTCTGGATATCTGCAGCTCCCACATCCTCATAGAAAAGTGTGTGCTCTGGATTTGACGCTAATAAAACAAGGAGCAGTGTGTGGTGACAGAGGTAGCGTTTTGCTCCTCAGGCTAATCATGTTGGAGATACAGACAACAAACAAACAAACAAACACTGGCAGGGTGTTACTTACTCTCATTTAAAATTTCACAACGCAGTGGTTGGTCTTGTACCTTGAGGGGACATTGAACGCTGAGATCTCTGGACAGCAGAGGCACAGTTGCCCCCTCCTGCTGTTTTCATCGTGCAACACCGAAAACAGATCTTAAGAGTTCAACTGGGAGAAAACAGGCAGCTTGAAAACCCTTGCAGCATGTTGAACCCCAACAAAAACACACAATTCCTTCTTGTTGCAGTTCTGCAAACCAGCCTTCACAGTTATTCCTCTAATAATCTGCTCTACAGGACTCTGTTAACTATTTGTCAGCTTGTGGTCTCTCAATATGCCGATGACTCCACGGTGTTTCTGAACCCACTGCAGACCACTGATTTTAAGTGCATGAATACAAATCAGAGAACACACACACACACACACACACACACACACACACCAAACCTCTTATATTACTGTCATATCTCATTTGCTTTCTCACTCACACTGTCCAGCTGCTCTTCATCTCTGCCATGTCCTGTCCATCTGTTACTCTCCCTCTGTCTTCAAATCAGTTTACGCTGCCGGTATCTTCCCACATGGCTTTGTTAACACAGCTCTGTTGTTCTTTAGGGTGTGTGTGTGTCTCACATCCCGACCTGCAAGATAACTGATTATTTTGGCTTGTCGCTCAGGAGTTGTGCAGGAACCGAAATCATCGACAACTCCTGCACGCTCATTCTCCTGAACTGCTCTGACTGTTTCTCGTATGTTTTTGCTCATCCAAGCAGTTTTTTGCGTTTTGTTTGGAACATGACATGCAATTTTAAAACTGATGCATCAGCAGCTGTTTTACGAAGTAAGAATCAACAGGCAATCTGCCGTCTCTGCAGCTTTTAACTGATAACATGACCGACTGCACAAAGAAGATGTCAGTCAGCTCATTACGTTCGAGTGCTGACATGTTATTTTCACCGTCAGGCTCTGCTGCTTATTTTGGAAACACAATGGTCATGATAATACTCTTTGGGCTTGCAGTGGATTTGTAAGTCAGCTGATCTGGTCTCAGTTGCTGCAGTCTACATGTCAAAGTTTCTTCAATTTTAGGGTGACCATATTCTTAATTCCAAAAAAAGAGTCACTACTGCACGGGGCCGAGTTGCGGAGTCACAGTCACATGTAGTTTTTCAGGTCAGGTCGAGTTGAGTGTTGTTTACGTGCTTTTAACTCAGTTAGTCCATACGACACAAATTCAAAACTTCCATACAAAAACCAAGACATTTGATGGATTTTATAAACTCCCCCGGACAGGCCGGACAGCCCCCAAAAAAGAGGACATGTCCGGGTAAAAGAGGACATATGGCCACCCTATTTAATCTTATGGATTTGATTGACACCTCATAGCTAACATATCAGGATGGCGCTGCAGCAGCACTATTGAGTATGCACAGTCCCATATGGTCTAGCGGTAAGGATTCCTGGTTTTCACCCAGGCGGCCCGGGTTCGACTCCCGGTATGGGAACTGCTCTTTAGGGTTATGGTTAGGTTGATTACAACAGTCACTTCAAGTAGTACACATGCCATAGTAAAACTAATTCCCCTGACTGTAATTCTAATGAAGATATATGTAAATGCATACGGGAGGGCACTTCTTCTCTGTTTCATTAGCAGTGTCCTTCAGAATGAGCCTCAGTTCTCTGTGGAAAAGAACAAAATCAATTGTTTTCTTTGTAAAACACAAAAAAGCCAAACAGTGTAACACAGTAAACACACTCTAGCATGTACCTACTCCTATATGAAAAACAATGATGGATACATGAGCAGCTTTTCTAAAACCTAATCTAGGGTGAGCATACGTCCTCTTTTACCCAGACATGTCCTCTTTTTTGGGGTCTGTCCGGCTTTGTCTGGGGGAGTTCGTAAAATCCTTCAAAGTTTTGGGTTTTTGTACGGAAGTTTTGAGTTTGTAACGTGTGGACTTAATGAGTTAGAAGCGTGTAAAAATACTCGATCCGCCCCGAAAAACTCTCAGAATTAACATTGTGACTCTGTGACTCCGCCCCTGCGTAGTTGTGTCCTCTTTTTTGAAAGTCAGAATATGGTCATCCTATCTACTGTATTTTTCGCACTTAAAATCCTTTTGGCTTGTTGGAGCACTGCAACTACTATAGCCTTGCGGAGTTATTAAATGAGTTAAATGAAGTTTGACTTATCTGACTGTTTTGTTTGGCTTAATGCGCTTTATAATTCGGTGCGCCTTATATTGCAAAAAAAAGGGTAATCAAAATCATTTTGTAGATGATTTGATTGACACCTCAAAGCTAACATATCAGGATCCCCACTTTGCTGCGCCATTGAGTACTCAGAGTCCCATATGGTCTAGCGGTAAGGATTCCTGGTTTTCACCCAGGCGGCCCGGGTTCGACTCCCGGTATGGGAACTGCTCTTTAGGGTTATGGTTAGGTTGATTACAACAGTCCCTTGAAGTTGCTCATATGCCTGGCCAGTAAAACCAAATCCTCTGACTGTAATTCTAATGAAGACATGTATGTAAATGCATACAGCAGGGCACTTCTTCTCTGTTTCATTAGCAGTGTCCTTCATAATGGGCCTTAGTTCTCCGTGGAAAAGAATAAAATCCATTTCTTTTGTTTTCTTTGTAAAACACAAAAAATCCAGACTATGAAACACAGTAAACACACTCCAGCATGTACCCACTCTTATATGAAAAAAACAGATAAAATATTGTGCAAAAATGTGAATGCAAAAGCACTCTGTTCCCTGTTCTGACTCTTAGAGATAATGTCCCTTATTTTTCCTCTCCAGTTTTCCCATGAGGGAATTTTCTGTCCTCTCATTTCTCAGCTCAGGTGTGGAGCTCAGCTGATAAGAGGATATTACCTGGCACTAACTATGCTATTGTTCAAGTAGACTCACACCCTGTTATTCTGGTTGTCTCACATATTTCTTCAGATATAGAACAAGCTTGTTCTTCTGTAAAATCTGAGTTTATTAAAAGGGGTTATAGTCGAGTGGCAGAGGGGTTGTAAGAGTTTAAGTTCCTCTATCTTGCTCTCTGCATACCAGTTTTGTGTATTTAGACAAAGAAGAAGCTCCTTAACCAGAGACAACATCTTAACATAAACATCTCATCTGTTCAATTTGCATCTCATTTGCAAACCAAGGTCTGAGGAAGAGTCTGGAGGAGGAGTAGGGAGTCACAGAATCTAGGTCTGGGTGTGATCATTTGGGGCATCTGCTGTTGGTCTTCTGTGTTTTATCCAGTCTGAAGTTAATGCAACCAACAACCAGAAGACTTTAGAGAACATCATGCTTCCATCTGCAGACAAGCTTGGACATTGAGACTCTTTTTCACCAGGACTCAGCACCTACCCACGGCGCCAAAACTACCAAACGTTTGCTTACCACATGGTAACTGTGCTTGATTTGGGCGGCTGGCCCACTCTGAATCTCCACAGGCTGATCACCTCCTAATGCAGTCATTTGTGGTAAAGAAACTTGGCCAACTGAATGTAAAAGTGAAAAAATCTTTTAGACAAGAACCTTCAAATCGTTGTTTTTACCGGTCTTAAGAACTACTCTAATAATTTAAGTTATTGGCAACAAGCCTGTATAAATAAAATAAGCTTGAAATATTTAACTTTGTATCCGATAAATAAAGAGCACATGAAAAAAATTTAGCTTTTCATGATATTCTTATCCTTTGAGGCGAACCCGAAGAGCAAAGAGGTGCTAATGCTACCCAATAGCCCCATACCTCATACACAACCGTCTGTAACTCCACTTTGAGAGCGATCTGATTGAATTATTTAGTCATTAGCTTGTATGAGATGAGCTGTAACCACACAAGTATTAATCTATCCAGTTAAATGAGGTCTGACTGCAGGGTCACGATACTGCTGCACTGTCTTCAGGTGAACTCGCCTGTTTGCGTCTCGCTCAGCTGCTCTCCTTGTCGAGAAAAGATGCCTCTTGACAAATTTGGCTCTCTGTATTTCTGGCACTGATGATGTTTTTATGGACCTGGAAAAAGTAGAGCAAAAGAATGAGCGGTAGAGTGTAAGATGGGAGCAAATACTGCGAGCATTTACATTCCTTCATACTGCAGACTCTCCAGATCTTCTGAAATGTTTCTGCTCTGTCCAACTCGCAGATACACTCCTCTCCACTATCTCCCTCTCCAGTGATTCTCCTCTCTCTGCTCTGTTGCCGTCCAATTCCTCTTCTTGCCAAACTATTTCTCTCAATCTTCATTTTCTCTCTCTGCATAATCATAGGCCTATCCTGCCTTTGCCTCCATTGTTGTTATTCATTATGTTAATGCTCCCTGACAGTGGAACAGATGGGTGAGGATGATGAGGGCTATAAAAAGTTTTATAAGCTGCAGTCATCCGAACTCCAGTTTATTGTTTTAAGCTATTTTTCCAAAAAGCTTTATGTTTGATACATAAGTACAATCTGTGTTTTTAAGCTCTTCTATTAAAACCTGCTTGGAAATTTTTAAAGCAGAGCTGCACAGTCTGTGCTCTTCACCTTCATGTAGGAGGATTCACCGGTGAGCTGGCTGTCAACTGTGTGTGAAGAGAGTCGCCTTTACTGGAATAAAAACATCTTAACATTTTTTTTCCCCTGGCTTTGTTTCCATGGATACCATTCTTCTTTTACTCAACACTATTCCTTCACCATCAAATCATTCGCTTTAATTTGAACTTCAGCAGATCCTTGTGGGCCGTTTACTCTCCTCATCACCTTCTCTCTCAGCGGGGCCTGCACTCTCAGAGCAGAGGTAAACACAGCTCTGCCAATTTAGCCTGTAAGCTAACATCATTGGATATCCTGCTGAATCGACCAACTACAAATTGTGAAAATCTGCCCCGGCACTGCTTGTCTAAAAAATTTACACACACCCCAGGAGAGTCTTACCGGCTCCTTTAGTGGTTACCATCATCATTCAATGGCTGCCACAGCAGCTTGGCGCATAGTCTCGCCCATGAGAGGCCTTGAAAGCCAGTAAGTACTATGGAAGCACGTCTTTCCATCTTCCTCTCGGCCGTCTGATGTCCTCACTTCCTCTCTCGCTCTCTCTGTCGCCTTTGATCAAAGCTGTTCGAGGTCACAAAGAGTCTGATGGACGGATGTGGCTGTCTTTCTGTGTCTCTGCTCCCTCCATGTCTTCACTAAAAAGCTGACAGGCTCTTATTGATCTCTGATGTTCAGAGGATCTTTCTTTATGAACACTGGCTTGTCAGAGGGCATAGTCCCACAGTTTGACATGCAACGCTCACTTTTGAGAGCGATTCTCCTGGGACGGATTTCAGTGTCTGGACTTCTGCATAATAAGAGATAGCTTTATGCGTACGTTTTAAACACTTGCATCTACATATAGTGCTAAAACTACTGAGTAAAATTTCTCAGTAAGCGCACACTAGCATCCTGTTACTATCTGTAGTTTTTAATTGAAGGGGCCAAGCTGACTGGCATCCTCTGTTCTTAAAGGGATACTCTGGCGTAAAATTAATGTAGGGTCAAACACACTGTAACACCAAGTTAGACACCCCATCGAGAGATGAATGTTGCCGACCGCTTGCTTCTCTAGTTACACCAACTTTAGCAATACACAGCGGTCTGAGAAGCAATAAACAAACCCCAACCAAAACGCAACTTTATAGCCACAAATAATGCTCAGAACAGCACCTAACTTCATCAACAGTACATATAGGGTCTCAGCCATAGAACTAGCCAACAAACATCTTTTTAGCTTTGCCTAATTTTTTTCGCAAAGAGTCTAAACACAACTCACCTACTCTCTTCCAGCAGCTGCTTGTTTGTAGCGAGACGTCAGGCCAGTCCATTACTGCTGCGGGGTGACGCAGCTCAAGGAAGAAAATTTATGATAATTTCCTTGAAGTAATAATCACCATATCAATCATTTTGCACTGCAGACATGGTAGATCTTCTGCCTTATCGTCTCAGTCTGATTGCATTTCCATGAAGTAATCATCATAAATGTTCTTCCTTGAGCTGCGTCACCCCGCTGTAGTCCGTAATGGACTGGCCTGAGGTCTCGCTATAAACAAGCGGCTGCTAGAAGTGAGTAGATGAGTTGTGTTTGGTCTCTTTGCTAAATAAATTAGGCAAAGTTAAAAAGATGTATCCCTTTAACACACTTACTACTGACATGTAAATTTTGCAACCTCACTTCAAAAATACTTAAATGTCCCTTTAAGGTCAAGAGTTTTGTTTAATGGGGCACTCAAGTGCTCTTGGTGAATTAGAAAGGAATTCAGTGGAGTGAAAGAATGAGTCTTTGCATGCCTCAATGTCGCTGAGTACATCATCAAATGAGCAGATTAGATCTGTAGCTCCTCTAATCCCCCTGTGTGTGTTAAATGTGCTAAATGAGCCCCCCTGCTGAGCCCCGCTGATTCACATCGTTTGGATTTCCTCAGATGGGCTAAAAACTCATCAGCCTCCTTCCTCGGAAACCCACCGCCTCTCTCTGTCTGTACTGTTCCTCAAAAGCAGAATAGAGATGTGGAGGTTAAAAATGTGGGGTTGACGGTCAGAGAGCTGACGCATGAGTCATGTCATATTGAATATCAGATATCAGTTACCATGGATACATTAACAGCTCTTCAAAACCTAAACAAAATCACTTTTTAGATAATTTGATTGACACTGCATAGCTATCATACCAAGATGGCACTACAACAGGACTAATCAGTACTCAGAGTCCCATATGGTCTAGCGGTAAGGATTCCTGGTTTTCACCCAGGCGGCCCGGGTTCGACTCCCGGTATGGGAACTGCTCTTTACTGACAGTCTCTTGAAGGTGCACACATACTTGGCCAATAAAACTGATTCCCCTGATTCTGATTAAAACATCTATGTGAATGCTTGCATGGGGCCTTTTCCCCCTCTGATTCATCAGCGGTGTCCTCTCTCTGCACTCTGAACAGCTTCATTATGGGGCCTCAGTTCTCTGTGGAAAAGAACAAAACCCATTTATTGTCGTCTTTTACTGCCTAGGATTAACATAATTGTAGTGAAGCAGATCGTTTGTTGTACAGTTCATGAGTTACACTTCCTGTACAAACTCAAAGCATGGCTTCATTTCCATTTTAGTCAAGTCAAATGGATGTTCGTGCTCGAAGGAATTCCCTTAGCATCAAGCAAAGGGCTTCAGTAAAAGAAAAGAAAGATTAGAGGTAAAGTGAAGGAACATGTCCTCTGATTGGGACAGCTCAATACACCCTTCTCCCTTCTTCCTATCATACCTTTTTTCTGTTGCTACCTGGGATTTGACAGCTCAACCCTGCAGACTGTTTCAGATTACAAGCTGCTGTTAACAGCTGCACAGGGAGCCAGTCTTCAGTTTGTGTAAGGGGAATAAGAATCTGTGTACAACAGAGATGTTTTCACAGCCAGCCTCCAGTGGCATCATTACCACATCTCCACGCCGATTCTTCTTGCAGCCTGTAAAGGTTCTGTTCACACTTCAGGACAAGAGAGGGACCTCTGGATTGAATCAGTGTGTGATGTGACACTTCAGGTGTTTGGCCTACTTCTTTGCTCATTGGTATTCTGGTTTCAGATTTGGGAGCATGACTCATTCATGTCAGTGATAAATCATCCACCTCCTGAATATTCATGTTTTCTCTCTGTATCCAGAGCAGCAACACTTTTATCTCGCACATTATCACACCGCACATGAGCGAAATGAAAGGAGCAAATTCCAAAAGGACTGAACATTGGCTCTGCAGACAGCCCTTCTTTTTTGAAGCATTAGTTTTGAAGAAGTTTCTGTAACAAGCACATCTTCACTGAGACTGACTGACCAAACGGATACTGAAATGATATTCTCAACTTGGTTTATGCACCCTGTTAGAAAAAAAAAAACAGCTGTTGATAAACCTCATAGTTGAATGTGGTTTATGTATCATGTTTCATACATTACTCTCTCTTGATTATTTCACATCTTAACATAACGTCGACTGCACTTCCTGTAAAGATAAACCTAAAAGTCAATTAGCTGAGATTTAATTTTTCTTACTGCGCATTCGAGCTCCCAAATCTAATTAAAACTATCAATGCATGTGGAGTAATGACCTCTCAAGAGCGCTTGTATCTATTCTATGAGGAGTCACTGTTCATAACAATTAACTTCAGGGGGTGATGGGACGTGAGTAATGTGTGTAGGTGTGAGGTTATAGTCGAACGATAAAGAATAGGAGGAAGAGAAGAGGACACAGTGCAGACACTAAGTATGTAAGGTAAAGACTTAGAAATGACTGCTCAACATTCAGCCCCACATTCAGTCATTTTTTAACATCATACAAGAACTATGCAGCTGTGTCTGGGTCTTTCAGGCAGGATCACAGCCCACTGCAGACCTCTGTCTCACACTGTCCTGACCAGAGACGGAGGAGGTCCTAACCCTAACACTGCCACTGACGCACTTGTCTGTGGAGTCACGACATAAAGACGTCTATGCTGTTCTCCTCTGCTCTCCGACCAGGTTAACAGCCTTGCATATCCACTTTTACCCCTGCTATGTTTCTGCTTTTCCTTTTTTTTTTATAGCATTTGCATTGAGCCTGCCAAGCTGCCAGAGTGACTTGGCTGGAATCTAAGAGGAACTGAAGTGTTTCCCCCCTTCAGTCATTTGGCTGAGGACTCAAAATTATAGTCTGTATATGAAGCTCTTTCTGAGGTGCATCAAGAGCATACATGCCCACCAGGTGCTTCTGTTGAGTGTTTTTATCTAGTTTTTGCGATGCGGACTGTTGACATTTGAGAGGACCTGTTTTCGCAATTTAGAGCGAAACTTTCAGATACAGTTGATCGGCTAGAAGCAGATGAGTGCAGATTTTATGAGACTGAAACGTGGCTGTAAATGGTGATTGGAAGTTGATTTTCACACTGTTGGTCACTATTACAGAATACAAGAAACATATACTAGCATATCTGTGTGTGTGTATTCCTTATTAAACCCTGATCATCTATGAAGTCTAGTTTGTTGGTATGAAGAACCTTTTTCTCTGTTTTCCTGGTAAAACCTAAGCTGCCCTCAGGAATAGATTATCCTTGTTTTTGTCTCTCTTTAGGCAGATAGGCGGGAGCTTTAATGAGGAAGTATTATGAGGCAGGTGCAGCACTAAAGGAAACCGGAGTCAGTGCTGAGATTTAATGAGGAGCTGTCTTTATAGAGAGGAAGGTGAAGCATGGCTGGAGGAATACAGTATAAAGCTCACAGGATGGAGGAGGAAAAATACTCATTAAGTTAATAGTGTGTGCTAAAGAAAGCAACTTCTCACCTTGAAAACAGTCTGAATTTAGTCTCTCAAGACTCTCCAGGGCTCTCAGGTGTTCTCGAGCACTCTACATCGTCTTCTCTGCTCTGCTTTCTGTTGTTTTAGTATTCCTCCAAAAGTTGCTTGTAAGTATAAATTTGGTCATGATAGAAAGCCACAGTTGTTTCTCTTCCCTAAGATGAAGGCGTCAGAAAACAGTTGGAAGTTTTTATATTTGTAGAACAACAACAGGCGGTGTTTGTGCTCACCCCTGTACTGCCCATTGTAAATGGTAGCAGTACGAGTACAAGGATTTATGTCAGGAATTTGCTCTTGAAACCCCCTGCTGTGTGGCCATTACTCTCCTGCTGTGCTGTGAAGGTCCCGGCTAAATTGGCCATAAAGTTCCAGATTTCTATTAACATGCGGATAAGTGAGGATGGCTTTACTCCCTAACCTCTCCCCTCCTCACAGCATATAAAAAGCAGCGTGTTAAATCGTATCAAAATGTTGATCTTCTGCACAGATCTGCTTATATCTTAATCATTTTGTGTTTGATTTGAAATGGAAAGACAACCACAAACTTAAACCGGGTTCAGCTTTCACCTAAGAAGTACCAGCAGTGAGTCAGCCCAGCCTCCTGCTTCACTCCTCCACCCATTTGAGGGGTAACACCATCCATCCAGACACCTGCTCTCCCATAGCCTATTTTCAGCTGACCTCAAAGTACATCTAATGTTCTGAGCATGCCCAGTCAGTCTCTTGATCCCTCCAAACGTGCCAGGGTCAAACCATCAAGCCAACCAGGTGCGATCAGTAACAGCCACTTGGCCTTTCAACCCAGTCACATCCAGCCTGTACCAGAGCAGGATGGACAGTCCTAACATGCTGCAAATGCTGTGGACAATCAGGGAGGAGCAGTACAAATACAAATACAACAACTCAAGGTTTCCTAAAGGTAACCATGACGGTTTCACTCTTCAAAGGTGGAAGTTTTATTCCAGATATGAAACCTCTCTTTAACTCAAAGCAGATCTGATGTAGAATCCAACCAGGGAGCTGTTAGATATTGAATCAATGCACTTTAAGCTCTCTTTTCATTTTGACCTCCCTTTATGTGAGGCCGTGCTGGAATGAAACATAAAGTCCCCTCCCTGTGCCCTCAGTCTGTGTACCAGAGCAGTTTCAGATGCCAACAGTCATAAACAACAAACACTTAAGCAAAGGGGCTGAGAAGTACAAGCAAAAAACCCTCAATTCAAAGCTGCTCCAAGGTCACAGAGAACAAAGATGCACCTTAAACAACCTCTGACACAGCTGCAGTGAGGTGAACTCTTAAAAAAGAAGAATACGCTGTTCTAACCCAGAATGTCTGAGCTAAAGCAGCACTGCTGTTTGTTGGAAAGAGGTGTCGGTCTCTGCCTTCACTTTTCTCTCTCAGGTGTTTGAAGACGTGTTGATTCTCGGTGTTTGTAAAAGTGTGACTCATGCCTGAGTCTGTGAGCTGGTATATGTGTTCGGTTTAACCTTGAGCTGATGATGCGGGGCGCCAGAAACAGATGAGAAGCAATTCCCTGACCAATTTTCACTTCAGATGATTGATTGATTTCTTTTGCACTGAGTGAATATGAACATGTATCTTGCAGGAGCAATTTGAGGCTGTGAAGACGCAGAAAGAGAGAAATGGACAGAGGTGAGACTGACGCATGGAGTTGAAGCAGCTAAAAGGGGGCAAGTCTGCAGCAGCGATCCAGAGGGAGCTACGGCATGATGGAGCTCAGGGACTCCAAGAAAAGACTATGTTTTAGTGATTCTAATGAAACATGAAGATTCAGAGTAGGGCTGGGCGATATGGCCTCAAATCAATATCACGATATCCCACATTAACTTTGTCTAGTTCAGCCATCGCTCCAGCCGCTATAACTTTTGAACCGTCCTCCATCTCTTCACCTGTCTGTCCCTCTTTGTTGTGGGCTGGATGGGGTGGAGTCACATCTCTGATGTAGGACAGCGTCTTAAAGAGATATTCCGGCATAAAATTAATTTAGGATCAAACACACCATAACACAGAGTTAGACACCCCCTTGAGAGATGAATATTGCCGACCACTTGCTTCTCTAGTTATACCAACTTTAGTAAAGACCGCACGATAGCAATACACAGCAGTCTGAGGTGCCATAAACAAACCTCAACCAAAACGCCACTCTATAGCCACAAATAATGCCCAGAACAGCACCTAACTTAATCAACAGTACATATAGGGTCCCAGCTATAGCACTAGCCACCAAACATCTTCTTAACTTTGCCTAATTTCTTTCGCAAGAGACTAAACACAACTCACCTATTCTCTTCCAGCAGCCGCTTGTTTGTAGGCCAATCCATTACGGACCACAGCGGGGTGACGCAGCTCAAGGAAGAACATTAATGATCATTACTTTATCATTTCCTTGCTGTAATAATCACCATATTAATCATTTTGTACTGCAGATGCGGTAGTTCTTCTACCTTAGTGTCTCGGTCTGATTGCATTTCCATGAAGAAATGCTCTATTCATCTCTAGAGGGGGTGTCTGACTCTGTGTTGCAGTGTGTTTGACCCTAAATTAATTTTACGCCGGAATATCCCTTTAAAGGGACATGAGACCATAGCCCACCTACACACATCCAAAACTAACCTTTATTTATTTACTAATTTTTGATACAGAATATACCGATATGGGCAAAATGACATTGGTCGTAAATTTTTGTATCTGTAATTTTTCGGTTTATCGCCCAGCCCTAATTTAGAGTTAATGACACAAACAGAAAGCGGATGGAGAAGGAGGGAAAGATGCTCAATGTGCCAGTCTATTGCAGCATAATTCAGAGCTGGCCCAGGCCTGAACCACATTCATTAACCCCCACCCCATCTCTCCTTCCCTTAGTTGAGTTCAGAAGATTTACATCCTCCTTGTAAACTAAACAGAATCATGTTTTTCAACACTACATATACAATCCTAATGGCCTTGTAAGAATTGTAGGTTTTTGTTTTGTAGATGTATCAATGTGCCGACTGGGATCAGCAGCTGCATAATCAGCAGTGGTAAATTATTCAGAGTCATTGGAGTGTCATGCTGGCTGCTTATATTAAAGCTGCACACACCAGAATCAGCTAAAGCAGAGCTCCTGTTTAAAGGCTTATCTTTGATTAAAAAACCTGAATGGATTTTAAGTAACATTTCATGGGAGCTGACATGGACTTCACAAGAGCTGGGGATGTTTTAAATGATTAATGAACACAGAATTTATTCCCATCATTGTGGACTTGAAGTGTGCAGGTAATTCCCTCGGCATGGGTTTCATTTCGGAGCAGCAGAGATGTAGTCGAATATCCTCTTGATTCTCTCTAATGAATGACTTCCTCTGAGCTGTCTTCAGTATTTTAAGTTGAGGTCCAGCAGTGCAAATAAATTAAGGAGGGTAGAGTCAGTGTGAGTTAGTGTAGGTGTTTATAAGCAGAGGAAGGAAAGATGCTCGCCCTCTTCTCTCTTTTGTTATCATATTTTAAAGGAGATGAGCCCCTCCTGAAGCCCCATACATTATATCCTGTCCACAGTTAAGACAGGGACAAAGAATCGCTCATTGAGATTAATCATTCCTCATCCATCTCCTCCATGTAGAACACCACCTTCATTAATCACCAGGATTTTCAAGATACAGCTCAGTAGCAGTACAGAGGCAGGACCATGGAGCCCGAAAGCCTCGGCTCTTGAACTGCAGAGCTCCCTGCCACGCTATAGGAGGCTCTCTCCTCCCCCTGTCTTCCTCACTGCAATTGTCTGTCAGATTCTTCCTCTCCAGTACTTCGCTGAGCATCCACTCCAGACCCCCCACTGTGCTTACATCTACCTGCCATCCATACCCACATCTTTCCTGTTTTATCTTTTTTCTTTGTCTCCTTCTTTCTCATCCTTTACATCTTCCTTTTTCTCTGAACTCACCCCCTCTTTAATGCTCCACTGTTTTTTCCACCTTCCTGGTTTCTTTACACAACTGATGCTAAAGTTAGGAAGTTGCCTAAAGGCTTGTTTTTAAGACCTTCTAGTTTATGAAGTGACAGAAGATTTCAGTCAACATGTTTGAAGCCAAACAGAAATATTTAGGCCTCATCACACAAAAGATTTTCATCATTTTAAATTACTTAGATTTAACAATAATCTTTATGTGCTGCATATTTGTCAGTCAAATGTAAATGAAACAACTAAGAATAAGATTTATGTAATAATACCTATAAATCCAATATGTTTAGAATAGATAATGAAAATTTATGTATTCATCATAGATAATTCCAATTTGTTTCTGCCTCATAAATTTTAACTAAATTAATCTTGATTGATCCACAGCTCATCATATTTAACTGATGTTCATACATTTTAATGGATTAAATTGAATTGTTTTCAGAATAACTGATTTATGCTGATTTTTAAAAAAATGAATAAATAAATTCTAAAAATATTAACAATTTTAATTAAATCTAACAGATGCAAAAACTTATAAATATACCATGCCTTGATTCATTTTTCTGAGTGTGCAAGAACTCAAAGTATTTATGTACAGTATGTTCTGTGAGGAACTTGCGGTTTGGCGCCCCCTGTGGACAAAACAAACTGTGCTTTTCTTGTCCTCTATAAATACAATTTCATCTTGCTGACTTTTGACGTTTCTATTTATTATTTATTGTGGATATTTTATGTGGAAATTGTAAAAACATCTTGTTTGCTTTTGTTTATCATTACAGGGCATCAACATGAATTTACATTTATTTTGGAGAAAAAAAAACTCCTTATAGGAGCTTTAAATTTTAAAATCTATTTTTTTACCTTTTTTTTTTAAAAGAAGTTTCATTTCCCACATCTGCCTTGAAATTAAGAGTAAAGCAGCAGATGTCAGCAGGAAGCAGTCAATGAAGGATGTTTCTCTCTAATGAAAAGTGTAATTGACACAGAGAAGAGGACTCAGTTGTCCAAAACAGGAGCAGATGTGCTGCAAAAAAATCCAGAAGTTAAGAGGTATTAGCTCATTACTGTTCACATTTGTTTGTTTTATTTTGTCCTTAAAACTTTTAAACGCATGCAGAGAATCTAATAAATACTAATGACAGGATATTAAATCCTAATGACGGGACATTAGCCTGGATTTAGTCTCTTTCAAACTCATTATTCCAGAGTTTTCAGCGAAGAGCGGCTGAGTATGTTTGGATGTTTAATTCCTCTGTGACTGAGAAGTTTGAATGGTTTGAATCCGGGCTGTAAACTCTGTGAGCTTTTTAAACCAGGCAGTAAAATAAACAGATAGTGACTGTTTCACAACAGCTGTGAATAATTTTATTATATTCTTACAGCAGCAGATGCTGAGCAAAATTAATTGTGTTACTACTGTAGCCACTCTGGAGAGATTGATTATGGTGAGTTTTTTGCCTCTCCCGCTCTGTTTCTCTGTAGTCGGGGTAAACAGGTGGTGCGCACTGTGGTTGATTGGAGGTGAGAGCCTCTGGAGATTCACTAAAGCTAACTCCAACTGTGAGTTCACTATTTACAGTCCATGCCCGCACAAGAACAAGAAAGCTGGCAGGCTGACAGGCAGAAGTGGAACGTGGTCAGAGAAATAAATGGTGAAACTCGAGGCAAACTTCTCATGTCAGTGTACTCACGCTACTGCTGTTCATTTTGTCCTGATATAACAGACATGTTGTGAATAACCAGGCCTGCTATTGTGGTTTTTCCTCCTCTTCTGTATTCAGCATGTTTAAAACCAGCTCTCTTTCTTCCTGCTCATTAATTCTGTGATTTTTTTCTGTATTATTTCATCTGAATGGATTCAGAGCTGAGCTGCCAGTGTCAGTCAGGAGAAAAAAGACATTGAATGAGAGTTTATTTGTGTCAAATAGACGGCTGCATGTTTTTCTGGGTAAATTAAATTCTTGTTTGGACCTAACATGAACTCGTAACTCTGTCAAGATGATGACGCTCAACTCCTTAATTTTAGCACCAATGGATACCTTGTGCCATATCGCCTTCAGTCTCTGTTAAACCTTATTTATTTTAATCATCTGACTCCCTCTATTTGAATCTTATAGTACCAGTCTTGGTAGATCAACAGAGCTCTTTCTTGCGGCTGCTGAATAAGTCGCTCAACCTCCCGCTGGTTTCCCCGCTCAGCTTCCCGTCATGGTGCCTCATCGAGTCGCAGCGAAACAAGAACCTCCGACCCAACACCAGGCCTGACATGGGGCTGTTACACCAAATTATACTGTTCATTGTGCTCCAGCAAACAATTAGTCCCCCTCGTGTTTTCTCAGACTTTAAATTGAAGGCGGGGGATTGATAGGAGTGTAATTCTTGAGTGAGAGAAAAGAAGCAGGTGTTTGGATTCGAGGATAAGCACTTGTATTCTCATCAAAGGTTAAGTGTTTGCTGGATTGAGCATTGGTGAGAAGCCAATGAATTCAGGTAGAGTATGAATAATGCATTAAGAGCGCCTCTTTAAGAACAGAGGTCAAACATGCTTCATGTTTGATTCAAGAATATCTTCATTAAAATAAGAACAAGTCTTGTGTTATCCACAAGCACGCTTTGGGTTTGCATAAGTCTCAGAGCAGTATGGAATCTATGAATTATGACTTATATACTTAGATTTACATTTATACCAAATTTTATACCTGCTTTACAGTAACTAAACTACATTAGTCCAAAAGGGTTCAGTTGTTCAGACTCTACAATGCACTAATACACCTTCTATCAAGACCATAAGCGTCCCTCTTTTTTACCTTGACATGTTTCGGCTGCAAAGATCTTGCTGTATCAAATCTTTTTAAAGATTTTAAGAAAGCCTTTATTTTTATCATGAAATGCACACCAAAATTCAAAAAAGATAAGGTGCACAAATGCTCAGACATGCACCACTCAACTTAAATGAAAGTGCACAAAAAATTGGCACCATATTGCACATGGTATCTGTGTTACTATCAGTCCCAAGGAAAGACACTAGCTGTAGCTACAGTGCCTCGAGGAAGGTTTTCCTCTTTGCGTTCAGTCATGCTGCCTCAACTTTGAAGCTCACCAGAGAGCTGCTTATCAGCTGCTGAACTCACCACTTGCTCCTCTTGAATGTGAATGTATTGAGGAAGGGCAGGGAGAACATACAGAGGAGCCACAGAGCCTTTTCTCTTCCAGGACTGCTCATCTCCATGACAGCTCTGCTCTGAATAAAGAAAAGAGACTCGGAGTCCTTTTTGACCTCGATAACAGCAGAGCAGCTGCCGGAGAGGCTGAAGTGACTTTAAAGGGATCTGAAGCGCCCATGCTGGTCAAACCTGTCCATCAGAGTGTCACACCTTTTCCCTTATCTGACACTGAGTCATATTATTTATGCTTTCAGAATGGATCCCTACAGTGGAGCCTGCAGAGGTCTGACTGACCCTCAGTTTATTATTTCATAGCTACTATATCTCTGCACCATACTGATATAAAAAGCTCCTGAGTATTAGAACAGCTCTTACTCACACTTTCATGTCATTTGTTTTACCCTGTGTGTCAGCCCAGCACTTTAATGTATGTGAGTCACAGAGTGTTATGACTGTGAGCAGGTTGAGAGTCTGTGTTAAAGCCTTTTACAGTGTGAACACAGCTGCTGAGACCCGAGTGCTCTGCTGCAGGCCTGTTTCAGCGAGGAGTCTCTTCTAGTGACACAGTCTGAATAAATGCACAAAAGATGTGAAAGTGTAAAAGAAAGTCTTGCACCTATTTATAACAGCAGACGAGTGTAATACAGTTCATCTTATTCTTCACTTTTGCTTTATGCCCTGCATGTTAAAAGAAATTCCTCCCAACTCCAAAGTCCAAATCAAGTGGGTTTAACACTGATCATACATTTGTTTGGTGAACTGCACGTCTTCATCAGCAGTACAGTTTTGGTGCTCTGTATAGAATTGTAATCCTCCAAATGTCTTCAAAATCTAAGTAAAACTACATTCTTGTAAAAAGGGTCAGAAGAGCTCCTGCTCCTGCATTGTCGATGTATTCTCTTTTATAATCATGTGATATTTGTGGTTGTAATCTGTTGCTGTATTCATCCTTAAAGTTAAGCAGACTGTAAATTAACTGTAGATTAAGCAACAACATGTGGGTTGTTTGTTTACTAATCCAATGCAGCTCTCATCCTCTGCTGCTCCTTTCAAGAAAAACTTCTACCTCCTTCATTTTTCCACTTTCATTTCACTCACTGTCGTTTTCTGCATCTACTGTTCCGCTCCTCCTTCCTTCTCTGATGCATGCACATATATCAGGTTAAAAAAAGGGGGAGATAAAATCTTTCCAGCTTTGTGTCAGCCTTTGAAAGAACTTGAAAAGAGAAAAAAGAAAAAACTATCATAGAATAACATGAGAAGAATGTCATAGTATAGTATGATAAAAATATCATGAAATAGTATGATAAAGATATAGTGGAGTATGTAAAAAACTTCATAACATATTTTTGTATGAAAGAAAGGACACAGTATAGTATGATAAGAATGTCAAAGTATAGTATGTTCAAAACTTCATATTTTAGTGTGAAAAAAAAATCCTATTATAGCATGAAAAAAAATGTCAAAGTATAGTATATTCATATTTTATTATAAAAAAGTCATAGTATAGTATGATTAAAATTTCATAAAGTGTGAAAAATGAAAATTCATATTTCAGTTTGGAAATAAATGTGAAAAAGTTCACACTTAAGCATGAAAAAATCTCATAGTATAGTATGATTGAAATTTCATATTTAAAATGTGAATAAAAAATTGTATTTCAGAACAAAAATTAATGTCATAGTATAGTATGATAAAAATGCCATAGTATAGTATGTTTAAAACTACATATTTAAGTGTAAAAAATAAAAATAAAAATTTTTAGTATGAAAATAAATGTCATAGTATGGTATGATAAAAACCTCACATTACAGTATAAAAAATATGTTTGTATGATTAAATTTTTATATTTTTTGTGAAAAAAAATCATATTTTAGTATGGAGATAAATCTCATTGTATTGCACAATAAAAATTTCATACTTAAGGGGAAAAATAGGATTTAGTATGATAACTAATGTTGCGGTATACTGTGGGAAAAATGTGCTTTAGTGTGAAAAAAAATCCACATCCACAACAAAATCCAAAAAAATGTCATAGTATGGTATGATAGAAATTTCATAAACAAGTGTGAAAAATAAAAATTCTTTTTTTTCGTATGAAAATAAATGTCATAGTATAGTATGATAAAAAATTCATAGTATAGTATGTTCAAAACTACGTATTGTGTGTATTGTGTGAAAAAAAATTCATATCTTAGTATGAAAAAAAAGTCATAGAAAAGTATGATAGAAAATTCATAGTTTGGTATGTAAAAAACATCATAATATAGTATGAAAACAAATGAAATTAGTTAAGTATGATTGAAATTTCAAAAAAAAATTCAAAATTCAAAAAAAAAATTCAAAAAATTTCAAAAAATCGTATTTCGATATAAAAATAAATCTTATAGTGTTGCATGATAAAAAAATTTCATACTTTAGGGGGAAAAAATCGTATTTAAGTATGAAAATAAATGTCATATTATACTATGGGAAAATGTCATAGTATAGTATGAACTAAATTTAATACTTTGGTATTATGAAAAATGTCATAGTATAGTGTGTTTAAAATTTTATATTAAAGTGTTTAAAAAATCTAAATTTTTTGCATGAAAAAAATGCCATAGTGTAGTATGATAAAAATGTCATATTTTTGTGTGATAAAAAAAAATCGTATTTCAGTATAAAAATAAATGTCAAATATAGTATATCAAAAATGACATAGTATGGTATGAAAATTTTAAGGGGAAAATTTGTATTTAAGTATAAAAAATAAATGTCATAATATATTATAATAAAAATGCCAGAGTAGATTATGTTCAAAATTTCGTATTTCAGTTTTTAAAAAAATGTGACAGTATATTATGATAAAAATTTCATATTTTAGTATTAAAAAAGTCATATTTAAGTGTGAAAAAAATCGTATTTTGAATGAAAATAAATGTCAAGTAAAGTATGATAAAAATGTCATAGTAAAGTATGATCAAAATTTCATATTAAAGTAATATTAAAAAATGTAATAGTATAGTATGACATTTGTTTATGCTCAAATGTGAAAAAATGTCATAGTTTGTGTGAACAAAAATTTCATGTGTGTGAAGAAAAGTTTTTTATTTCAGAACGAAAATAAATGTCTATGGACAATAAACTATGGAAAAATGTCATAGTATACTATGATCAAAATTTCACACTTCAGTATTATTAAAATTGTCATAGTATGGTATGATAAAATTTGATATTTAAGTGTGGAAAAAAAATGTGTATTTTAGTATAAAAATAAATGTCATAAAGTATAATATGATAAAAACGTCATATAATAGATTGTTCAAAACTTCACATTTGAGTGTAAAAAAATTCTCATTTTAGCATGAAAATAGTATGACAAAAATTTTATATTAAAGTTAAAAAAATTGTATTTCAGTACTTAAATAAATGTCAAAGTATAGTATGTTAAAAGTGTTATAGTATAGTATGATAAAAATTTAATATTTTAAGAAGAAAATTTGTATTTTTGTATGAAAAAAAATCATAGTACAGTATGATCAAAATCTGAAACTTAAGTATTATAAAAATTGTCAAAGTATAGTATGATGAAAAAATTTACATTTTAGCATGAAAAAAGTGTCAGTAAAGAATGATTAAAATGTCATATTTAAGTATGAAAAAAATCACATTTTAGTATGAAAAAAGTCATAGTTTAGTACAATCAAAATTTGATATTTAAGTGTGAAAAATAAAAATTTGTATTTCAGTATGAAAATAAATGTCATAGTATAGTATGTTAAAATGACTGCAAATGACTATTAGAGATCTGATCACTGCTGAAAGTGCCCAATCACAACAGGATTTTTGGACCTTCTGAATCCAGCAAATTTCCTCTGGCTGTGATTCTTTTCCCTCTCTGAGTTGACTAATTACAGTGTCTGCGTGGTATTATGAGCCTCATAACACCTTACATTTTAGCACAAGTTAATTTTCTGCTCCACTGGATAAAGATAATTGCCTTAAAAAATGGCACTTTATGGAGGGATCGGTTTACTAGCCAGCACTGTTATCAAACCAGTTTTACCTGTAAACAAACATTGAAAAGGGGGCGGGGTTTGTGTGTCTGTGTGTGTGTGTGTGTGGGGATGTTGGTTAGTACATTTACATCTTAAATGTAGGGGAGGTTTGAAAGAAGCTTTAAAAAGACTCATGCATCTCCCATCACTCATCCTTGACCCAGTACTTTCTCTTTGTTTCCAGCACTTTAAGTATACTCTATCACAGACCATTTTCAGCGTTTGGTATCTAAATATATTCCCTATCCTACACCCTCATTATACAAACTGAAGTGTGTGTTGATTCCCTGCAGGTTTTTGGCTCCGCACAACTGAATTACATAAATGCATAAATGCTGTGGGGCTGAATACATTCATGAGGCATTAAACTCTAAGGGTTTAGTAAATGAGAAATATATGTAGAATTCCTGATCGAGTTTCGAATCCTCTAAGTTATACTTGTGAGAAAGTATCTGGGCTAAAACCTCTCTCATTTTGTTTGTTTTCAGCAAGAGACAAACTCGGGGTGTTTACTTGCACTTTAGAGAATTGATTTATTGCAAAAGTCCAACAGATGATACCTGGATAATGCAGTTGGAGATCAATTCTCGCTGGTGAAAGTTTGCTGGGGTCTTGTTTCATCACAACATAACTACCTGTTCAACATGCATTATCCTGATGGCCTCTTATCCTCCTCATTTGGAGAGAAAATTGTCTGTGCAGAGATAACTTTGAGCCTCTCATAATGAATCCACTGTGTTTCGTGTTGTGTGTGTGTATCCATTAGCTACTAATTAGTTAATTAGTGTGTGGATGACGAGCTGATTAGCTGTCATTAGACTTTTCAGGGGGATTAATTCATCAGCGTGCATCTGCAGTTCCGGAGACACGCACATCACGTTGTTTTGCTCGAATAATTGCAAAAGAATTCAATTTACTTTTCATCTTTAACTCTGAATAACAACAATTGGGGCAGTTTGAAAATATGGTTATGAACTTTAGGGGCTGGAGAGAGAAGAAGTTGGATGCTGTTGTTCTGCGGAGGACTGAAGTGATTTTTTTGATACTCCTGCTGCTTGTCAGAGAAATATCAAGGTAACTCATCTAAATCTGCTCATTAGTGTAAAATAGAGGGAGTAGATAACAATAGATCACCTCAGCTTTATTAAGAAAACTTGATTCTGTGTTTCTGAAGAGTATAATCGTAAAGGAAAAATAACAAAGATGTCTCGGTTTGATTTGAAGAGAGAGGTTGAGGAAATCTGGCCTGAGTTGAAAAAGAGAAAAAAGGAAGGGGTTTAGCCACAGGGTAAAACGAGAGAGGAATAAGAGGGTCTAAAAGAAGCTTCAGTTCAGTTTTGGCTCTTGTAGCCTAAACCCTGATTGCTTCTTATCTACTGTCTTTCCCCTCCCTTTTAATCACCTGTCATCCTCCTTTGTCTGGTGTTGCAGAGGTGATAGTTCTGGTCACAGGGCATCAGACGATCAGGGTGACACCAGCCACCTGTTACTCAAACCTTGAGAATGGTAAGAAGTCCCAGCCGGCAAACCTGCTCTTCTACAACTGAGACTTTTTAGTGTCATCTCAGCTGAAGACAACATCTGCTGATGGCTCATCCTGGAGGAGTGGATCTGAAAAACCTTTCAGGAAGTGCGAGGACCGAAGAGATGCCAAGTGATCCAGTTTTTTGCAGCATGATGTGGTTGATTGAATAACATGAGTGTATTATGCTGCTTCAGGGTTATTGGCATTTTCTGAGCGACCATAATCCAATCCAATCCAGTCCTCTTTATTTACATAGCAAATTTTAAAACACATTCAAGTTTATCAAAGTGCTGCACAGTCAAATTTAAAGAACAAACACAAAACCATCAAGAGGAAATAAATCAAAGCAGAGGAAACAAAATAAATGAAATAAAAACACAAAAGCATAAAGGAAATAAAAGTGATAAAAGGACCATAAAAGACATAAAAAAGATAGAGATCATACAACTCTCATGCTGAACTAAAAGCGAAACGTGATTTTTAAAGTAGAAAGAGTGGGTGCAGACTGATTGATTTGAGTGTTGAAAACTCACAGCTGTCTTTTGCAGCGCTAGAGCCCTTCATACTTGTTTGTGAGTGAGAGGGTTTTCTGCTCAGCATCGACACATATTCTCCATTTGAAGGTCGTCCTCTGTGGCCTCTTTTATGATTTTAGTCTAAACTTTTTATTTGGGTCTCCTCAGACCAGACACTGACGGAACAATAGTGGCAGAAAACATGAAAAGTCACTTGTTAGATTTCTTTTTAATCATTTTGCTCCTCATTTCTTATTTCTCCTCTAACCTGGCCTGAGGAGAGAGTCCAGCAGAGGAGTTTCCTCATCCGGCGTGAATCAAAGCGATCAAAAGAACATTACCGGGCATGTTAGATCAAGCGGCTCATTACCTTGCAGCTCGGTTGATCCCAAAGCTGCACAATCATGCCCTCCAAATGAAACAGTATAATTTTATTTTCCTCAAAATGCTTCCACACATGATGGAGAATGGATACACGTTTGATTCCTCTGTTTCTGTGCCGCTTAATTTGAGAGCTGACGGTGCATCAAGAACACTAACGTCTTCAAAGATGTCAGTTTTCCATTATGCGTTTGTATGTGTTCTTCTCTGAGGCCCGCGCCAACTTGACTCATACGGGCTCTGAAAACTTTAACCTTCTTTGCCTTTCCAAGTCCTCCTCTGCCCAGTATTGTCGCGCCATTGAAGGTTGTGACGGCCAGTGAGAAACAACCCACACGCACAGACGCTGAACTCCTAATAGTCGGGAAGTTGGTGCTCAGACTGAAGCAAACCATTTGTAACACGGGGTCAGGATCGTATTCACCAGCCTGACCAACTGGTCTCTCATGCTGTTCGGACAAATTGTGGGCGAAGTCAAAGGCTTTGTCTCTAAGCAACCCAGGCTTTTATTTCGTCCTTTTACACAAACAGCCTTGTGACTCAAGAGTCAGAGTTGGGGCGGATGCTGCAAAGCCCAACGACAAAATCGGACGAATCCTTCTCCTTGATATGAAACAAACAAGCAGATTTCTCCAACTGTCAAAGCATTTCTTTAAAGCTGTGAAAACACATTTTCCATAAAAGATCCTTTATGAAATGTGAGATGACCCCCACTTAAAACGTTGACAAAATACTGATTCTCAGGGCAAAACAATCTGTCAACATGTTTTACGATAAAAGGGAATTGTTAGCTCAAACTGTGGCACGTTGTCGCTGCAGGAAACACCCGGAGCAGCGAGAAACACGAGGTCAAAAAATGTGTTTGAATTCAAATATTGACAGAGCAGCTGGCAGGAGAGGGATGAGAGGAAAGTCTTGTCAGAAATACGCAGACACATGCTACCTCATTACCTCATCCCATCTCTTTGGGACGCACACATATGAATAAAATGAGCCGCGAGGTTACTCCGTCTGAGAGTGTGAATGTGCTGGCATATTTTTTCCATCCTCTTGCTGTTAGCGTGTAGATGATCCTGTATGCGACAGCCAACATGCTTACAGATTATGGGTTTGGAGGCTCCTGCAAGACTTGGCTGGTGATGATTTTAACGAGCCAGTTGGGAGTGGTTCTCAACCTCACTCTCTAATCTCCCTGTTTGTCCCACTCACTCAAACGCTGAACTGAACTTTACAAAGTCTAACATTTATTTATTAAGACAGTGACTCCTCTTTGCCAACACACAATAGACCCATATATTCTACTTTCAGCTTATCTACAAAACCAAATGTCACAGATGTGGATCATCAGTTTAGATGCTTTTGGGAGACTTCTTATCATCCTCCATCAAAGACTTTATTCATGAGCCTCACTGAGGTGATTAATTCGTGGCATCGGCACCTCAGCAAGGCAGCTATTAGGCTAATTGATCACAGAGTCAGGAGAGTCTGCAGATACAATAGAGCCACACAATGAAAGCACAGAGGAGCTGTCTGTGCTGATTTTTGGAGTTAATGGCTTCACCTTTATCTCCTCTTGGAGGTTCAATTATCTTGGATGGAGCTCATTTTGTGTTTGCAGTTTAAAGGGCTTTTCACCTCTCCCTCTGACCTAACAACCCACTCATGATTTATTTACCCAGAGCTGGGAAAAGCCTGTTACATTGAGTTATAACCAAGCGGGGATTAAGGGGATCAAAAGTCAAAGGTTACTTTCACTAGCAGCAATATAAGTTTGAATATTTAATATGATTTCAGGAGTGTGAATATCTTGTCTGATGCGTGTGTGTGGTGATGGATAATGACGTTGGTGAGGAGTGTCGCATGTCTGGTTGGTCTGGGAGGTTCTGCAGAGGCCCGGCAGTGAGAGACTCAGGATGGGGGTTCCGTCTCAGGCGTAGCTCTGCCCAAGCTAAGTCTGACCCAGACTATATCTGAAATAAGGTGAGATCAGAGAATGGCGAGGTAGAGAGGTAGTAGAAGCGTGTAGAAGAGTGTAGTGGGCTGGCTGTGTATAAATACGCTAGTCAGGTGATTGAAGTTGTGGTGAGGCGTGGTCCTGCTCCTGAACCTTAGTTAGTACATTAACTTCATTTATTTGTACCCTCAGGTAAATTTTGTTTGATGTGAATCACATGTATTACAGTAGACGAACAAACAGCACAGTCCATGCAACAGGGAATACATATATGCAACAGAACATACATATGGGAGGCAATAACTGTGACCAAAGTTGCACAAATGTCCTTTCAAAAGCGGAACATTTACCCAGATCAGGCCTGAAAAGCAGTGACTGTTTTTGAGGTGTGATTTAAATGATCAGCTGGCAGGAGGTGGAAGACGGAGACCTCAGTGCTGCTGTTGATGCATGAGTAAGAATGATGGAGGATGTGGTTTCCATTAGTCCACATAGGTAGGACTGTTAGAGTTCCTCCGCTTTCACCCACAACCCTCCCAAGTAGCAGCAGAAAACCCAAAGCCCATGACCAGAACTGCAGCTCTGGGTTCATACGAACGACATCACATTATGAATCTGGTTCATGTGAAGAATCTTCCATTCATTCATATTTAATACTGTCCAGTTTCTCTTTTAAAATCATAGTGAATTTCAAAAAGTAATTAAATCTTAAAAATCAGCGTCTGGTTACCCTTGTGCTACCTTCAGAGAGTTTTTTGTTGTTGTTTTCATGACTCACCATAATTTTGAACAAAATTGCTCCCCATCCAGCTTCCAGAGTTTGTGCTGATGCTTCATACTTGTCCTTCATGTCACTCAATTACCTGTGCAAGGCTACCAGGCTGCATTCATGTAGAGGGCACACCGCTGTTTCTCGCATCCTTGTAATACCTTTTATCAAACAACAAAGGTCTGAGTGGTTACCAAAGGGATGGCCTGGATTTTTGCCCTCGACAGAGAGGACAGCAGGTTTACAGCCTGAGGCACGCTGTTTTCTATTCCGTAACAATCTCCAGTTGCACTTTGACGCCCTGTGATTGGCCGGTTACTGAGAAACCAAGGCAGCGGAGAAAACACTGAGCTTAATCTACCATTTTGTTGGCACAGATGCATCACTGATCATGCGTGAAATGAATGCAAAATCATCCATGATGCTTCTTGCTTCCGTTTATTGTCCAGACTGCAGATGAGCTGAACATCAGTGTTAGTGTCTCTGGAGATTCCCTCTGCATCTGTGGGGGTTTGTTCTGGCAGCTTATCCTTGATAATTAAAGGTTATCCTATGTGCTGAGCGTACATTATGGTACATGGTTGAGTGGTGATTTCAGATTTTCATGTTGCATTTTAAATAACAACATATGTTATTGTTTATGATCAGAAACAGATCACATATCTGGTTTAAACAAATGAGCCTGGAGAGTTGTGCTGGAATAATGAAGTGTTGCTGCTCGCTGCCTGATGACTGCAGGCTGTGCTGCTGAAGGAAAGCGATGGTGAAGAGTAAGATAGAGAGGATGGGTGATGGGGGAGGTTTTTAGAAATTACACAGAGTCAACACAGACTTTTGAGAAGTGTATAGACCAAACAAGCTTGAGGGAAGAGTAAGCATGTCAAATTCAAGAAATGTATAAATGTTTCTACTTTATGGCAAAGACTTGAAAATCTGGCCGCCCTCACAGAGTCTTTGAAAGGACCTTGAATAGCACATTGATTGAGGATCAGTGATGACATACCTCAACTTTAGACCTGGAGAAGATGATACAGCAGAAGTCCTCCTTGGCTACAATTCTCATTGTTTGTTTTTCTTACTGTGGAATTACAACATCACATGAAGTGCTACCTTAAATTTCAAGAAGCAATGTCTCTAAAAACTCTGTGGTCTGAGACTTTTCCTCAAACTGCATTTTGCCAAAGTAGGATGGGATCATTTATCGATGTAGAAATTTTATTAAATGTGTTAGGGTGATTTTCGGTAACCCTTTCTTTTACTGTACACTAATTACCAGCTAATTACCAGGTAATTACCTAGTAATAACATGAAATTATCTGGTAATTACATGATAACTACTAAGTCAATACTGTCTAGTTTTTCTTTTTTCCAGAAAATCCTGGAAATACCAGAGCAATTCGGCTTTAAGTTTGTATGACGATGGAAGGTTACCTACCTGGTAGCTAGACAGTATTGACTTAGTAGTTATCATGTAATTACCAGATAATTTCATGTTATTACTAGGTAAGTACCTGTTAATTACCTGGTGATAAGTGTACCATAAAAGAAAGGGTTACCTGATTTTCTTTAGCCAGTCATGCCAGCCTTTAGGGTAGTGGAGCTGTGTCACTCAAATATCTTGGATTCTTTGGTGCTAGATCTCTGGAGCCATGGGCCTCCAACAACAATCATAAAACAAGGACCTTGTACCCATATTTAACATCACAAAATATGTTGTGCTTTGTTATTACCCTACATGGACTCTCCTTCAGATCAACAAGATGCAAGCAGAATGTTTGGAAACGTGGACGGCTTTATATACTTGAACAGTCTCAGACCAATCTTGATGAAGCTGTAACCCAGATTTGCAACCAGTAAAGCTTGTCAAAATGATCATTTGTGTGGACCTTCCATTTTTTTAAGCTTGAACCTGGGCTAGGCATCCTTACAAAATGCTAGTTTGAAGTGTCCCAATTCGTCACCACAAACTGCCTTCTTTCTTTCTTGACCCACAGACCTTAAGGCCTGGCGTTACTATGACAACCTCCCAGGCTCTTGGTGTCTCTTACGTGCAACTCTATTTTGTAATCTTTAAGCCTAACTCAATATTTTGCATGTTATCTTTGAGCAGAGGTAAATAATAAGAATAAGATAATGTATCACAAGGCGATGATGATTTAACACTGAAGTGCACAGTGTGTCTGGTCTTTATTGCTTTTTCATGACCAAATGGGATGTAAAATATAATCGTAGCTGAGGTTATTCAAAGTACACTCTTGTCCATTTCAGGATAATAAAAAAAAGACACCAGTTGCCTGGCAACCAACAAGGCCTCCAGGGTGTTAATGATCCTGATTTTGAAGTGGTCAGGCACAGTCCCCTCCAAAAATCTGTAATTTGTTACACCTCGGTTTTCGCAGTCACTCTTACACCTTTGAGCATGTAAAGAAAAATCTCTCCAAGATTTCCTCTCTTTTTATAACTTACAAGAACCGATCCACAGTTTTATTTAGTATTGGGCAACAATACGAGTCCATCTGAATAAGATACACATTACTCTTTTATGGGCTTGTGAGTATCAGGGGCCTTTTACAGTAATAAATAGCTTGCTCCATTATATTGCATAATGTTGTGGGCATGGTGTGCTTCAAAGTTCCCTTGATGATCTTTCTGTAAACTCAAATGTAGAAATGTATCTTGATTATAAAGGATGGACTTACAGGTGACAGCCTTCTTTGAAAAGATTTAGACATTGTGAACCATTAGGAAGGCAAACCTCTTACAGCTGATAGTGTATTAAAACCCTGAGATTACTTGATTCTAGTGTCGCTCTCAGGGTCTGATGGGAACATTTAATTCATACATTTATTCCTGCTGGTGTTGCAGTTTGAAAACTTGCCTTACAGGGATTTTGGTTGTCATCATGCCACACACTGTTTTAACACATGATGACTCAGAGTATTTCTCCAGTTGCATAAATCTTGTTTGTGTCTTTTAATACATCAAGACTTTCCCTTTTGATAAAGCTTATACTCTGAGCTAGTTCAGGTTAATACGAAAGAGGATTAGAGCTACATGAAGACAAAAAAAATAATTACAGGAAGGAGATTAAAGTTAAAATTTCAAGATGAAGAAAAAAAATGAAATTATGTCAATAATGTAGAAATTCGAGATTAAGTCAGTATAAAATGTAGAAATGTCGTGAATAATGTCGAAATTTCCAGATAAAAAAAAACAAAAATTTTGAGATTAAAATCGAAATTTCAAGATTAAAGTCTAAATTTCTGCTTTTTAAAAATTTCATCTTTGATTTCAAAGTTTCAATTTTAATCTTGAAATGGACATTTAAAAAAAATATCCCTCCTGTAATTATTTGTTTCTCTTCTTGTGGCCCTAATCCTCTTTTGAAGGTTCAGGCTTAGGCCAGCTCTTAATTATGTTGCTATAGGTTTAAACTGAGCACCTTTCCATTCTTCTCCATCATCATGTCTCATTAGAGTCCCTAATACACAGTCTTTTCTGGGAGTCCCTCAGCTCCAGGTTCCTCTGGATCACTGCTGCAGAAGTTTTGCTGTGAACCTGCAGCTTTAATAACGTTAAAGTACAAATGTATTGGTACAGCAGAGCCAGATGTTGAAAACTGTCACATTTTGCTTTTTTTCTAATGAGGCTGTGATTATATAAAACATAGACTGTAATCTAAAACTGTTAACCAATATGCTTTTAAATATATACCTCTTATTTGTGAACATTAGGGCACTTGTTCAAACATACTGGCTGATGCGAGTGTTTGATTTTTTTGAGAGTTTCCCCCTCCCCTCTGCAAAAGAAACAGCTGTTCCTCATTTTTTACTCTAAATTGCTCTCTTATGCTTCCTTTGGACTGTTGGATTGCTTTTGTGTGCAGACATTTATATGCAAAATGGGGAGAATGAACCAGCTTCTGTGTGTCCGTCGGCTAGAATGGCGAGGAAAATTGCACTGACCATCATATTCAGCTCAGCCCTGCTCCCAGTGAAGCCCGACCGAGTCATGTTATCTTTAGTGAGACAGAGCTGGTGTGGGCTGTCACATATACTGAATGAGAAACACTCTGCTTCTGGTTTTATTCCATGGCTTTGTGCTTTATCCTTCCTATAGCTTCTAAAAATAGAACATGTTACAGCAGAATTGTGTCGGGATAATAAGACGTCTACTATTATTTAACAGGGCTAAAAAAAAAAGTCAGCATATACATTGAAAATCTTCATGAAATGGGGCTTCAATGTGGAGGAAGAGGACATTAGAGGACTCTTCATACTCTTCTTCCCGTTCACATTTCAGTCACGTCACTTTCTCTCCCCTTCCCTTTTTATTTTTTATCTTTACATTTGTGTCTCTCAATCAACAAAACTGAGCTTCTTTTTGTCTCACTACAGCCGTCAGCTTGCTTCAGCACGTGTCCAAGTAACAGAGAACAAATGGAGCAGCTCCAGGGTCCCGGCTAATACCCCGAGTGTAAATTGAAGCCTTGGTTCAGTGGGCTCCCCTGACAGCACTTCTCACTGATCAGGTGGGGGTTTGGGGGCTCTGGGGCGCCCTGTGGTGTAATTGATGTAAAATGAGTGTTCCTCTGACGCAGGTTTTCTTCTTTCCTTCGTGCTCCAAAGTGACATCCAGCTACCAAGCCATTATCTGGTGGTTTTTTTACCCGTGTCCCCGAGCATGATGGGGACAGACAAGCTTGAACTTGGCTCCATCTTTGATTGACAGGCTTTTGAGTTGAGTTGATCTCAGAGCCTCAGCTGGCTGCTCCAATGAACAACCCACTAAAGCTGGGTTATTAGCTCAAGAGTTGAGAGGGGAGATATCGTGAATAAACACTGTGGACAAGGTCGTGAATAATTCCTTTTTATCTCTGGCTTACACCAAAATATGAATATCTAGTGAGCAGGGTGAGAGTAACAGTTTAAATAGATATTTGCTGGCAGGGCAGAGGCTGGCAGGCTGCCTGATGTGTTTTTTGGCCTGTGGTTGAAGGAGGCTAACAATTTTTTGGTTTTGCATCGATAGAGGAGGCTCTGAAATCTCTCTGCACTCTAAAAATAGCCCAACTTTGATTGTTTTTGACCCAACACCAGGGTTGAAAAAGGATTGACTGCTTATTGGGTTATTTTGACCCTGAATGTTAATGTTAAGCCAGATCCTGAGAGTCCAGAAAAAAAACAAAGTGCTGAGCCAAAACCAAAGAAGAGCGAGTGGCTCAGGAAATTCCTCAGCAATCCGTTCTCAAAGGTAAGGACGCATTTATTTGTGAATTATTTGGTGGTTCATGAAGGAAATACGCTGCAGTGGTCCAGACTTGGAGTTTTTGGACATTTAGAGTTGATATTTCTGTACTAACTGTTTGTCATTTTTTCACACAAAGAACGAGGAGAAGCTGAAGAAGGAGGAGAAAGAGAAGAAGCAGGAGAAAGAGAAAGCTTCACCTGACAGGAATGTTAGCTCACCTCCATTCTGGGTTCGGCTGGTTTGCGGCAGGCAAACCAGACGCGTAAACCCAGAACTTTAAAATCGGGACCAGCATACAAGGCTGGCCTGAAAATGATCTCTTTGAAAACAAACAAACAAAGCGATAAATAAATGAAAGAAAAAGAGCTTCTCTCATGTTCTCCTTTTTTATCTCATCAGTAAACCTTCATGTGGGAATTATTCAGGAATAATTATACACTTTTAAACTAACCAAACAGGTTTAATGAAGTCCGATTAATCCACAAATTACTTCAGAGATTCACATAAATCGAATGTTGATTGTCAGTTTTTGGTGTAAATGTGTGTCCAGTAACATAAAATTAAATATAGATCCAAATTGTCTCTGAATACAAGTTGGAAAGAAAGTAAAACTAGGCTCAGAGAGTTAATAAAAATCAACAACTTCAGATCAATTTTGTTGTTTAATGTTTCACTGAACTTACAGGTAATGTTGACCCTCTTATGAAAGTAATACATGGTAAATATTAGGGTTAAAGTTGCGTACAGATTCATTATTCCACACATTAAAATCTAATATACACTTATATGTTTTAGGGAGGATTTGTAATGAACCAATGAAAAGACGGATCTGGGGTTATGTTATTGATTGACAGATGGTGAATTGAATCAACTTAAACCAAGTTGTAAGTCTATTAGCTCTGCAAACTGAGCATTTGCATGTAGCTCAGAGCATCATGGATGGAGCCAGAGTCTTTTTGAATAACTGGTATAAACTTCAAGCTGTCAAATACTCTTATTAAAGACTAATTTATTCAACAGGTGAACTTTTAAGGGTGGACAGAATCAAATCACTTTACTCCAAGCTTGTTTAAATGTGTCATAATAGAGATCTGGACGGCATTATCTGGGAGATGATGTCAGGACTGTATTAATATTATTATAAATATCATTTTTTATAAATTTGAGTCGTGGCACAATATAAACAAATAGAGTTTTTTGCTCAAATCTCCTACTTCATTCTCTAAACAGGAATACATACCAGGCCCTTCTAGCTCCATCTGCTGTGTGAACAGTCATGGGGATAGATGAGTGCAGATGGGGAGAGGAAGATAGAATGGGGGGGTTCGGAGGGGTTTAAGGTGAAATGGTCCATGTCAGTAGCAGTCTTTAACACGTGGGATTACCGCCCCTTGGAGTGCAATTCAATCACCGAGCCTCATGTGAGACACACTCACACAATTCAGCCAGCGCCTCCAGAGAGCCCCTGATGGAAATGACAGAGGGACGCCGCTGCGATCTCACTGTAAGAGGGATGGAAACAAGGAAGGAAGAGAAACATATCAGAGAGGAGTTCATGATAAAGTCTTACAGAGAATTTCACATCATTACACAAATATGGGATGGTGCTAATCAAAGCTTTTACACCACCATGGTAAAAATTGGCACGTCTTCATCATGCGCTCTCTCTTAATCTTTTCATGGCTGTTTTGGAACCAGTGAAGCCCCTCAACGTCAGACCTGAGTAACTACTAAATCCTGAAATGTGTTTCACACGGAGCAGGTTCCTCACACTTTTTAAATAAAGTTTGATGATTATTATAACTCAAAATGACTTCTGAATATTAGAAACATTTAAATAGTCTTTGCTTTATTTGTCAAGGGACCAATGGTTATTAGATTAAAAAGGTGGAAGATTTTACTCCTGTATTATCCTCTTCAACTCAGTACTTAAAGTGATTAACACCTGCTGGAAGTAAAGCTGAGCAAGTTTGGAAAACTTATTATTAAAGTGAGAGGTGAAAAAAGTTTTTTCTTCATTGACTGAGTGTAAACTTCAGCTATTTTACGAATAAAAACACAAAACCTTTGAACTTTTATGAGGATGATTGTGTGAGTAAGGTTAGTTATTGAAGCGTTTTATGAGTAAAACATGAGGAAGAGGCTGATTATAAGGGCTTTGACTTTTTGGAGTGTTTAAACTGAAGTAGCAGTGAATTATAACCTTTTCTTAATATGATTTTTTCTTCTAGGAGAATAAACTCCGACTGCGTCTGAATTCAACTGTGTCCAAGTGTTTCTGAAGTGTTTTCTTGACTCTTATTTTTGAAGTGCATTTGCCAAGTTTTAAGATATAAATCAGGGTTAAAGAGCTGAAGCTTTCCACATTGGTGACTTTTATTCTGCCGCATGCTAGCTTTGTTTTTCAAGTCTTTATATAACCAGATTTTGAAGCCTGCGTGACCTGGTGTTGATTGTTTTGGGGCTATAAAAACAGCCCTGTGTCCCCTTCAGGTTAAAATGAAAGCTTGATTTTTATCATGTCTACATCTTACAATGAACAGATAGACACTGTCTTCACAGAAAAGTACTAGTCTGACATGTGAGCAAGTAAAGACAGTCCTGAATGACGGATTTTTCTCTTTTGAGTTCAATGCCTTTTTGCAGCCAACTCAGGTTTGCAGAATGAGACATTCAGGGTTTTCTCAATAGGGCTAAAATTCAAGAGCACTCCAAACTCATCCTTCAAAAGATGAAATATTGAATGCAGTAAAAGAAATTCAGAGCATTTTTCGCCTTATTAAATCAGCAGAGCATGTTAAACCTGATGATCTTCAAATCTGCAGAGGTCTGTGTTCTGCGTTTTTGGGGATAAAATCGACCAATCGAGCTGAAAATGTTGCCTTATTATTTTTGTGTTGATGGAAGTATTTCTAACTTTTCTCTTAGATGTTTGATATCAGATCATAGCGCCTGTCTGAGTGACTCAGCCTTTTCAGATGGGAGAACACACACAGAGTAATATCTTTAATGCATTAATCATGGTCTATAGCAGACTAACATCCGTCTCTACTCCTCCGGCTCTGTTCAGATTCAGTCAGTGTCAAACTCTGCTGTTTTCACACTGAGGAAAAATCACCCGTCTCATTCCAGCACAGCTTTGCTTCGCTTATATCATCTATCACTGTAAAACTGTTATTAGCTGTGGGAAATTTACAAGTTATATCAAAACCAGAGCGCACAGATGCTTTTTTAAACACAATCCAGTTAGCAGTGTTGCTTGAGACAAACTGTGTGTGTCCTCCTCTGTGTGTGTCTGCAGGAGATGGAGGAGAGCATCCAGGATTTGGAGCCTGAATCTACTCAGACGGAAAGCACAGCTGATCCTAAGCAGGGAGTGCACAGGGCAAAGCCTGGAGCTGCTCTTCCTGATAAACAGAAAAGAGGTGCAGGCCTGCAGAGAGCTGCATGCAGTGTAAGGAGAACATCAGCTCTCCTGCATGATTTATCCTCACACACTCAAAAAGTGCTGTTCTTTGGATGTTGTACGGTTTCTCTTTTTGGTCTTGTGCTGAATTCACTGCACACTTCCTTTTCTCTGAGTCAGACTCAGTTAAATCTAGCAGAACAGCGGCCTGGTGTGTACAGTAGCAGCTTTTCAATAACTCTGACAATATGATTTATGTCGCACATTTTGCACATACTACCATCTGCAGTTTCTTCTTTCTGTCTTTGTCAGCTCCAGCAAAAAAGAAAACTAGTGGCTCAGTCCTTGAAATCAGCGTGTTCATGATTAAGTCAACTGCACAACTCATTGGGTAAAGTTAAATTAAATATCAGGATGGGACCCCACCTCCGAAGACATGAATTTGTCCTTTCTTTTTGTCTTGTATTTATTCACAAATTGTAAAAAGCAATAGGAGTTGGGGCTCATAAGTATAAAAAACATATTTGTAGATTATCACAGTACTAAGCCTCAAAATGATAAATTACATAATGGCTTTTTCTTCACAACACTGTTTGTATATAAACAAATTTGGTAACACTTTATTTCACACTTATCTTTACAACACATTATAAATATATTTATAATGTGTTATAATCATGTTATAACACTGTATAACTATAGTTATAAACATTCATAAATAATCATAATGCTTTATAGCAATAATAATAACACATTATAATGTATTTTATCATGACTTACAAGGTCAGGTATTATAATGTGTTATAAATGTTAACAACAGTTGCATTGAATTATCTATGTGGGCATTGTCAGTGATAAGGCATTATAAATATATGTATAATGCGTTAAATTATACATATATTCATAATGCATGATAGAGATAGGCGTCAAATAAAGTGTTACCACAAATTTCAAGATGAAGAATGCCTGAGCCATGTCCTGAAGCTAACCAATCACACTGTATTTTGCTTTGGGGTCTAATATACATACAACTAATAGCGAAAACTGGTAAAGCGGTTTCAAACATTTCTCCTCTGTGGTGAGTTTACAATCATCTGTCTTGATTTTGACATGAAAATACAAAAGTTTCTGTACAAAGTGAGCACATGCACCGTCTGTGTTAGTAGAAAATTCTGAATTCTGAGGAGAACCTGGGTGTTTCTGAAGCCTCACACAGGATTTTACCTGGATTTGCGGCTCTGAGGTTCATAAGCTCGACCAAAACAATCAAAATTCCCCCTCAGTCCTCATCCTATAACAGAAAATAAATAACAACAGAGAGGGAAGAAAACAAAGTTTTAACCCAGCTTTGGTGATAAAGGTTCAGCTGTGCCTGCAGGGCAACAGATATGCTGATACAGACTCTCACTATGATAAAACAGCTGTGTCACCAAGTCTGGGACCCTCGGGGGGCAGTCAAGGACAAGTGGTCATGACACACAGCCATGAGACAATCTACTTCTGCTGTCCCTCATTTCCTTTCCTATCTGACTCCTGCATCAACACAGCACATATCTGATTCTATGAAACCTGCAAGAGCAGCACACACACACACACACACACTCTTAAGTATACACATCTACTCGATAACACCAACACTGCAAACTGTATAGATCCAGATTAGAGCGCTCTATCTGATACAGACAGAAATGAGCAGTCAGCATCAACATAAACAAGACAATCTCCTCTGAAAGATGGAGGACGAGGTGCTGATCTCTGCTGCAGGGGGGATGAGGGCGCAGAAGCAAAGTGGACAAGGACACTTCAAATGTAAGATTACAACAAAGACTTTTCTGTTTCTGCAAGAGAAAGAAAGTCAGTCACCAACTTTTCAGTGATCCAATGAAGCTCCAGGTGTTGCTTTGGGGTAGGCATCCTGACTTCCCAAAAAGACGACATGACTACGTTGTACAAAGTTAATTTTAAGAGATTTCCGGGTTGTATCGAGTGTCTTTTACGTACTTCTAACTCAGTAAGTCCACGTAACACAAAATCTAAACTCTCGTACAAAGCCATGGACATTTGAAGGGTTTTTATAAACTTCCCTGACAAACCTGGACAGTCCCCAAAAAAGATGTAAAAGAGGACATATGGTCACCCTACTACAGCAACCTACACACTAGCTATTTCCTGTGACTGTGTCAAGCCTAGAGAGAAGGAAAAAAGACTCACGAGACACAAGAGGAGGCGCAGATCTCAGTTTCAGACTCACTTACATCCAATAAATCCACAATGAGGATTCACAGTGAAACCTCCTTGAACTCTTTGCTGTCATTCACACCCACACACCAGAGTGCACATATCATAGTCTGACTTTAAAGTCCCCGCTGTGCTGCATCCACAGTGAAATGCTGGTTTTAGCTGCAGGGCTGACACAATTAGCAGGATGCCTTCATCACCAGAGAAGAGAAATAAGACCAACTACTACGTACAATGACAGCAATTAAAGCAATTAGACAGAGCAACATATGTTTAGAGCTACTATCTATTAGTCTCTGGAGTTTGGCTGTGTGTCAGTGCAGAGCTTTGGACTTTTCTCACTGAGCATCTTTGGCTGAGACTCCAGCACCAAGCTGGAAACTCTGCAGACCAGATGTTGCAAGGGAAAGATCAGAGACCAAATAGCAGTTTTTTCTTCCCGGTAATATAGATATTTCTTTTTTGCAACTTCTTTAGCTTTTAAATTTAACTCTGAAAAACTCTAGTCGTGTTCACCTTATTGTGAGAAAGTTGCTGGATCAGACGAAGAGGAGATCAGCCTTCGGGGCTCTGATAATGCGTTTGGCTTCACCTGCTGAGGAGACGGTTTTAATCAACAGGGAGTCAAGACTGATGGTGCAGAACACACTGCTGGAGAGGTACACTTGTAACACTCAGGGGCTCCAATTAACCCTGTTTAAACACAAACACACGTGCACACACATGTGCACACACACTAGCATCAGGTTGAGTCACTGAGAAAGAAGGACTAATGTGTGTTTCTGTCTCTGGTAGTTGTATTTACCTCTTGACCACATCAGGGTGGCTCGTAGATTTGAGGACAAGACTCTGCTGAGTGAAGCTGATCCAAGGATCGACAAAAATCTATAGGTGGTCTGAAATATGATGTGATATATGTGCGTGCATGGACAAGCTGTCTGCATTCCTCTCCCTCTGAAAACAATCTAATCATGCGGAGTGCTCCTGAGGCTTTACAGCCACTTCTCTAACATGTTTACCTGCAGGGCAGAGTGAGTTATGAACCATACCTCTCACTCCATGCTTCTCTTTTTCACATATAAATACATGCACAGAGGTGATAAACGAATAGACGAGTTGCCAGCCTCACATACAGAATATTCTTGCCCTCGAGAGACAAACTACGCCCGGAAGTGAAAACTGAAGGTGGAGACAGAACAGACAGAAAGAGTCATAGAGGCCAAACTGCTCAAACTGCTGCAGTCGCAACCCTGCAACAGAATGCAAACACTGACTTCTTCTCAACATTATTTGTTTTGTTTGATTGAGTTCACTCTTTATTCAGTTCAACAGTCAACCTTAAAGTTTATGAGCTTCTCCATCTGTATCGTAGTACCATTAAACTGCACACAAAGACATTTGCATGCATTATTTTGTTTGGTCGCCTTTAATGTGGTTCCCATGTAAATGCTGGAACAGAAAAAAAGAGGTAGATATGAGTGTGTGAGTGCATTAATCCATCATAGCGCCAGTGTCCCGTCAGAAGTAATGAGCCAAGAGGTTAAGGAAGAAAGAGTTTATGATGAGACCGGCTTCTTACTGGAGGGAATGCTAAACAATTAACACATTAATAAAGACGAGTTGTTTCTGAATGTTATCTGCTCTCTTTGCACTTGAAACTCCTCGTGCAAAGTCATTTGAGCATCAGTTTCCTTTTCTCTTCTGGTCAGAGTTTAGTCCTGCTGTGGACCCTGCTGGAGTCTTCACCATCTTTTGAGTTTTGGTCCAGCAATCGGACACACCTGCCAAACCGCAGAATAAAGGATGAGCGGTCAGTGGGGACAACTCATCTGGAGACAAACAAATGCCTCCAGGAATGGACTGAAAGATTTCTGTAATAAAACTAAATACAAGTCCAAAATCTTTAAGATCTTTTGTTGTTAAAATGAAAAAGTTTTAGGGTCAAAAAAGTTTTTCAAAAGATACAGAAGAAAATACAAGGCAGCTGTGTGTAGGAGTAGGAGGACTGCCGAGGCTAAAAGGGTTATAAATGTGTGTATATGAAGTTTCATAGCTGTAAATGGTAAAGATGTTTGAAATAGGAGATACTGCATATCCCTAGGAAGGTAAACAACAATTTAAGAGTGTCGACAAGCCAGAAAAAAATCTCTTTTTTCTGTTAGATCCAGTATTTCTGAAATAACCTGAACTTTAGGTTGAACTATTTTTGCAGCAAATTATAAAAGAGGTTTAATTCTAATATTTTCATCCTCCAAATAGCACAATTTGAGCAAAAATGTGGACCAGTGGTCAACGCATTTTTATCATTATCCGGGAAATAGATTTTAAAAACTGAACAATGAACACCAAGCATTTATTCCTCACCCTGTGCCCTCACTAAAAGAACATCAGCATCCGTCTGTCTATGTACGTAATTCTGAGAATCCTGGGAATTTTCGGCTTCCGACTCAATTCTCTCTCTTCCTGTATTTGAAAAATAAAGCCTAGGTTGCTAGGAAATGATCACTTTCCCTTTTCCAACAAATTGTCCAAACAATTTCGAGAGACCCGTTTACTTTAAATAATCAGATTTCTGAGTACAACCCTGACCTTGTGTTAGAAGTAGCTCCATTCAGACAAGCACACAGCATTTATTTGAGTATTTATTCAAGTTTTTAACTATTTTTTAACTATTCAGAGTTGTGTTCAGCTTTGTGTGTGGGTCATGCACTCACGCAGTCCTACTCTGCAGAGGGGACTCTGGATGTTCTTGGAGAGAGGCAGAATCTCTGGGCCTTCTTGATAACACATAACATAAACAAAAGAAACAAAGAGACAAGAAACAGTTGCATCAGTCCAACTGAAGCTAGACTTTTAAAAGTCATATAAGTCCCACTTATATTGCACTAGAAATCAAATTCCTCATAACTTCTCATGTGGAAGCAAAATCCTTAGAGGTGCTTTGTCGCTGCACAACGACATGTAACTCAGTTAAGGATGCTCTATTTACCACTGCACCTTTTCTGCACTCACAGAAAACGTTAGCTAACCCTGAATAATGTGCGCTACACAGTGTAAATATTATTCAGCATCCTCCACCTTCCTCAGAATCATCCTCATTCACTCTCCGTGACAGCAGTTGGATTGAGGTCAAGTACACAGCTAAATAAAGATCTATCACGGTATAATGCGGGCGCTGCTTTCAGTGAGTTAAAGGTCTGCTTGAATTTGGAGTGATGCTAAAAAGGATCACAGTCAAATCTATTCCCATCATCTCCTTGTTGCCAAAGCTTTGTGGCATCATGCCCGGGACTGTGAGTCTCGAACGGCCTCTAGACCTCCAAAAGCAGGCTTTGGATTCACAGCTAATAAAGGCTGTGACACAATTAAAGTGACTGTACTGTATAAGGCAGAAAGAAGCTCTTTGTTTTCCCTCCAAACCCACTTTCCCTCACATATTTCTCATATTGACTTTGCTCTGCTATTGTCCCTCTCCATGATTACTTTCCTGTATGCTTGCACTCTTTTATTCTTTACTGAGTTTTTTTTTTCAACTTCTATTGGATTGAAAAGTTTGACTGTTTTCTTTGAGGATAAACTTTTTCATTTCATTTTCTCTCATCCCATTAGCAGCGTCTGCTTTGATACTGACTGCTTCATTTAACTCCACAAAGTTTCTCAGTCTTTTCTTTTTATTTTTTCTGTTTCAAATCAATTAATGTTTTCTTTTCTTCGTATTGACTGCATTCATTCACGTTGTCCACAAGGACGCATTCAATTCCATCTTTCAACACACTGGAGGATGTTCTGCTATGACTTGTAACTATATAAAAGGGAAGTTTTTCTGATTTTCTTCACTGCAGCTTTCTTTGCAACGCATACACAAATACAAACTTGTTGAAAATGATGTCTTTGCTGACACATTCACTCTATCTCACCTCCTTACATGTCTCCTCACTCTCTCCCCCCTGCTGTGACCTTTCTCTCCTCATCCCTTTCTTTTTTTTACCCTGCTGCTGACACTACCTTCCTCCTTCTTGCTGTATCTCCTCAAGTCAAACCCCCTGAGGTCTTTGCTTTTTTCCCACAATACACTTTTCTTATTATTCTCCTTCACAGCATCCTGATCTTTCAACCTTTGCACTTTTTAGCTGTCTCTTTCAGTCTGCTGTGACCTTTCTTTAACCGGATGTACTTTGCAGCCGGTGCAGTCAAAAGGACATTGTTGGGTGGAGTGGGGTCAAAGCTGTTCTGACACACACTGATGCCTGGTAGTTTTTCTGCCAGGCTGAAGATGAGAGTTTGAGGGACCAGCTCAAGAGGATGTTATTGCTGCTTTCCAGTTGTACTCAGAAGTTGGGATATCCAAGCTCTGAGTTGGAAATTCATCTGGATCACACCCTTAAAGTCGCATTTAAGTTGGTAAGTTGGACGATCCAAACCAACTCCAACTTGGCGACAACGTCATAAAACCAAGATGGCAGCACAGTGCATCATCAGTAAAGAGTAGCAGTGAAAGCTCCCGTAATGTATTATCAGGGCTCTCAAGTCTCACGCAATCAGCGTGAGACACACGCATTCCCACTCGTTCACACGCTCACACGCCACACATCGTATTTCTCACGCATTTAAATGAACACGGTGATGTCCACCAAGTTGCACCTCTTTAACTATGGAACAGGTAGGAATCAACTGAGTTTCTCCGAGAGTTCAGAAGCTGCGTGCCACGCGCAAGCCAATCAAATAAAGTATATCTACTGAACAGCCAATCAAAAAGCAGCATTGCTGTATCCGGGTAGATTTTGATATCTTGCGGTTTGACTACAGAAGAAGACAGACACTCGCCGTAATAGAGCAGGTTATTTATAAGGACGAGATAGACCCGATGATTACAGTAAGTCAGTAACCTACACATGCAGAGACCTCAACACCTCATAGCATATAAACTCATATGATAAACTAAAGCCCTATGCTATTGCTATTAACAGCTGTATTGATGGATTTAGTCTCTGTACAGCCATTTCCAGCCATTTTCCCCTCCGCAAAAGCAGCATTTCTCATATATCTCAAATATAAGCTCTGATACTCATGACAGTGTAATGCTCATGTACCAAAGGATTAAGGATCTCCATGTTTGTGACACCTATACTAAAGTACAATTCATCTAAATGTTCCACAGTGCTGATTTTAACAACTCTCCTTCACAACAGGTAACTTTACGACTTAATACTGAGATATTAATGACTTTATTCTCCCAAATAATAACTTTATTCTTTGAGATTAAAAAGCGTTTTTTTTCTAATTGTGCCCCTTATACTCCGTTGTATTTAAGAGATAATTATACTTATAATTACCCCCCCCCCCCCCCCCCCCAGGAAATCTCACTCTAAGCTTAGTTCAAAACTTGAGAGCCCTGGTATTATTTATTAGCACTTCTGTTTTGTTTTTGTGAAATTAAATAAGTGGTATATGTCGTACTCCTCAATGTTTTATTGTGAACACAGTGCTATGGTGTTTGTAAGAGTAAAATACTGTGTTATGCGTAGTTTACAACTGGTATAGCTAACAACAACTAACAACAGCTAACAACGGCTAACAACTGCTGACAACTAACAACAGCTAACAACGGCTAACAACTGCTGACAACAACTAACAACAGCTAACAACGGCTAACAACTGCTAACAACAACTAACAACAGCTAACAACGGCTAATAACTGCTGACAACAACTAACAATAGCTAACAACGGCTAACAACTGCTGACAACAACTAACAACAGCTAACAACGGCTAACAACTGCAATCGTAGATGACAGCTAAAAATGGCTAACTGTAGGCATCCATCTTGGTTTTCCAACTTGTTAGCTGGAATGTCTCCAACTCGGGTGTAAAGTCATTCCCAGCTCCGACATCCACCTTCCGAGGTAACTGGAACGCAGCATAAGTATGCTTGAAATTTTTGGTGGGTGGGGCTTAGCTGGAGACAAAACAGGCATTAATATTAATGTTTTATAAACATCAAATAACTCCTAACAGGAGGTTTCATGAATGTTTTGGGCATCACATTTTCAAATAAGTTTCTTTAGCTTGTCATACATTCTGCATTATTGACTGTACAATAACACCATCAGTCTTTACCTACAGGTTCAGAGGCCTTTACAGCTGATCCATAACCAATACCTCTAATCCAAGCTTCTTCTCTCTAATCTCTCTCTTATTTTGGTTTTACCCTCTCTACCCTTGGATTTCTCTCACAGGCTGTAAATTTTAAATGGTGAGAACTATAACTCTAGAGTCCAGGGAGGCGGGTTAGTGTCTGTTGGGCATCCAAGTGATTTGCTGAGGGTGTATTTTTTTTTTTATTCAAGGCCTCAAGATTCTTCAAATCAAAAGATTATTCTTGCTGCTCTTTTGTCAGTATTTAAAACCAAACCAGAGAGACAAAATTAGTAACCAGCATAACTGAACAGCATAACCAAGCATTCCGCAGCTTAAGTTTGCTTCAGGGGACGAAATAAAGATAAACAGGAGCATCATATTTCTCTGTAAATCTACAGTTCGCAAAATTCTCACCGTATCTGACATGTCCCCGGACTGACAGCACTCAACAGGAAATGCTTCACAGATGGCAGTTTTTCTTTCTTCTCCTGCTTGACAGATTTATCAGCTGAGCTCAGGTGGTGTCTCATCTGCTAAGGTGCATAAAATAAAAAAAGAAAAACACACATGGGCATATTTCGGGGACACATGGAGAATCAGCTCATTTAAATGTCAGCCCTTTAGATTTTATGTTTGGCTCATGTTTTCTCTCTCTGACCACATCCTAACCTCTCCTGTCCCTTTTTCATCCTCTGCGTGTCAAACATGATCCCAAAAAACCTCAAATGTCCCAGCTTTTTTGAGAACATGTTGCAGGGATTAAATTCAAAATGAGCGAATATTTGCATGAAAAAAAAGACGTTTATCAGTTTGCACATAAAATATCTTGTCTTAATTTGATACAGGTCAAAAATTATTTGCAAATCACAGTTTTCTGTTTTTATTTACACAGTGTCCCATTCTGCTCTGACGTTACTCAGGCCACATAGGTTTGATTTTAGTGAAGACATGCACAGTGTAAGAAGTGCCAGTGAGTGCATCTATAAGCAAGTACAGATGCAGACTTTGGGCTCTATTTTCGTGCCTCGCTGGAGACGTGGCACAGGTCCGCCGCGCCGATAAGGCGTTCCCAGTCACATTTAGGTATTTTGGTGAGCGGCGCAGCCCGGCTTAAGTATCCCCCCTCCCTCAATCAGCTCCTCCCAGTGGCGTAAGTCGTAGGGAGGGAGGAGAGAGGGCGTGGAGTGGGTTTAACACAGCCGAGACCTGTTTTCACCAATCACATAAGCTCCTCTCCTTGCCTTTAAATCCGCCACCGGCGAGGCGTATTACAATTTCTGTGAAGTAGTCAAAGAGATCAAGAGATGGCTGAAGACAGCAATGCCGCATGATGGCAACAGAAGGCAGCCCCTCAACAAGTGTCACTAAGCGCTGCAGAGGGCATCCTCCAAACCGTCTCATATAAGCACAGATGGATTAAGCAGAACCCTATATGCATGACCTAGATCCTGAAATTTGCCAACCAAATGCCTAATCAAATGACACATTGAAAAGTACACAAAGTTAAATCATACAATAACCTTTCCACTGACTTCTTCCCTCGTCTTCCCGTCGTTTTCTGTGCCTAGATCATAAAACACAGGTACATCATCATTATTGGTCCCTGGCAGCTCACTTCCGTTGTGGCTTCTTCTCTTAATCTGCACCGTTACTTTTTGTATTCGCAGTAGGCTTCGGTTTCTTTCTTTTTTTTCTTTTTTTGCACCAGTAACTTCCATTGTGGCTTCTATTCATTGCATTCTTTTCTATTTGCAGCAGTTCTCGGTCACCGTAGTTATCAACATCAATATGGAAAGTATGGCCTCCATTAAGATGGATAGAGGCTGTTTGCTTGTTTCACTCTGTGTTTGTGTGCCTTATCCTTATTTTCCGTAACAGCCAGTTTCTTGGATAAGAAGTCATGGCAGATTGTGTTCATGGAGACAGGCGAGAAAACAAACATGATGGGACAGGTGGATGGGGAGGAAACAAACAAGAGTGTTAAAGGGATTGAGTGATTCAATAAAAGAAGATCATACTTATCAACCTGCTTCACCGATGCACCTTGAACCAGGACAACGGCAGCTTGCGTCATTCTAGAAAGGTGGATCTCCATGTTGTGTGTTAATTTACACTGAAGAGACAGAGGAGGAGGAAGATGAGAGGGAAAGATGAGGGAGAAAAAGGATGGACACACTCATGCAGAGACATTTGTTTGTGAAAATTGCCCCACTTACTCAAGAGGGAGTCTTGAAATCAGCAGAGGGACCATCAGAGTGATGGAGGGGAAGGAGGGATGCTGTATCAAACAAACACACACTTCACTTCACAGGCAAGACCTCATCATGCATGGGAGAATTATAAATATAAAAATACTTCAGTTTAATGAAAGTTTCTGCTATTGTATGCTTTGAGGGGATTTGTCATGAACTGAGTGGGTGAGCCACACTTCTCCATCCCTGTGATTTCTTAAAGTAGTAAAGATAGAAATTACTGCAGGGGTCAGAGTTCTGCTACAGAAACCTCAGCGGGTCAAACGGGTTAATGGAGTGAAAAGAAAATCTGGACAAAGGTCTTATGTGTCAATATGGATTCAATCTTCAAAATCTCAAGACAGCGTGTGTTTCATTTGTACAATAAAGGTTCATTCTGTAGCTTTTTACTGAATTGCTTCATCTTTTAAGAAGAGCTTTCACTGAAGTTGGGACATTGTGTGCAATATGAATAAAAACAGAATACAATGATTTGCAAATTCATTATTCGATTGAATACATGTGGAGCGGGAAAACAGAAAAAGAGTAGTTAAAAGAAGTAGGTAAGAAAAGAGAGAGGGATGAGGTTATAAGTGGGTTTGGGTAGCAGGTGGATGTTAGCACAGTGGGGGTCCAGAGAGGAAGCTCAGAGTGGGAGACAGAGTGAAAAAAATGGATGGTGATGAAGGAGAAAGGGAGGGAGGCGTTGATGCGGCGCCTCCTCTTGCCTTATAGGGGGTCCAGCATCCGCGTCTTGGCACCACGTTCTAATAAAGCACAGATGAGCCAAAGCTGTCAGGATCCCGGTCCTGCCACTGAGCCTTATCTTGAAAATGCAGGTAAGTAATGAAGGTGGTGTGGTGCTCTGCGTGGAGGAGGTGGACAAGAGATGATAGATCTTAATGAGCTGTGCTCTGTCTCTGTTTCTACCGTGAAGGGATATTACATTTGCTCATCTCTTTTACGATACGATAATGAGGGAGAGGAAAAAGGAGGTCGGGAAGCTTCCTGCTGACCTCAAGTGTCTCCTTCTCTCCTCTTTTATGACTCCTTAAAATTCTTCCAAGTTAAAGACAATGTCAGGAAACATTCAGCTACATCTACACTTACAGATTAAAATTGATTTAAGAGATGCTGACACCCCTCTCCCTCTGTCTTTCATGCAATCCTGTCTCCTCTTTTTTTTGCCTTGCATCTGACGTTTCACAAAATGTGCTGACAGCTGTGATCCCCGCAGCTTTAACAACAGGTGTGGGGAGATTATTTAGAGTTTGAAAGCTTGCCCAGATTCTGTTTTCTTCAGCAGAAAGAAGACAATAGAAAACTGAGCCGAGAGTGGGAGGTGTGAAGGATAAATTAAAAAGTGAAAAGAAGGTTTGAAGTCTGATTTGGTCTAGTTTTTGAGATGTTGTAGCAGCAGCCATCCTGCTGGACAAGCTCCTCCTTTAAACCTCGGAGAGCTGCAGAAATGTCAGTATCAGTGTGCTTAAGAGAGGAAGATAAGATCAGGATTTATGAGGACTGAATATAAACTTATCTCCCTCTGAGACAGCGGGTGTTTTCTTGCTGAGGTATCAGTTATTTTCTCAGACATGGCGAATACTGACATTTGTCACTATGTGTGTTTTAATATCTCAGTAGTGGACAACCAAACCTCCAGCTGGAGATCCAGAGCTGAGCTGTGATTTCTTAACATCTTCACTTCTGATACTGAATATGCGATTATTAACTTTTGATCATTTCTGCTTTTCCAAAAAAATTCAAAAACAGGATTTCTGTTTGATTTTGATTAACAGCGATTATATTAATTTTCTCTTTTTAAAGTTTCTGCAGCATCTGACATATTGCAAAAGTCGATCATGTTTCACCTGAGGGACCGAGCAGCAGTCGTATGTCTTGTTGACTGCTAAAGCGTGGACATGTGAGCTGTGGAGGTCTCTTTATAGTATGGTAACACTTCCCAGAGGAGCATGTCAGCAAGCCATGTTGGCCTCGGCTGACTCTGGCTGGGACAGTGAGAGACAGAGATCTCCAGTGGGCCATAATCCTGCCTGATATGTGGTAATTGTTTGGGGAACTGGATATCCTCTGCCTGTCACAGCAGCAGCCTCAGAGATCCAGAGGCGACTGTACAGAATGAATATGAAACACTGACTTACAGTCCAGAACCAGAACTGCATTAAATCAAAGCAAATCCACTATGGACCCCTTCTCTATAATTCATAAATGAAAGACTGTTTAAGTGTGCTTATAGACTTGTACGTGACATTAAAGCTCCTGTAGGGAGTTTTTTGATATCTAATAATAGACTGAAATTCATATGGTCGCCTTTCATGGTATTGTATTCCCAGTTATTCCCAGTAGAGCTCTGAGATCTACTGACTCAGGTCAGATTGTGGAGCACAGAGTTCAAACCAGACACTTTTAAATCCAGTTTAAAAACATTTCTCTTTTCATGTGCTGATGGCTGAGCTCTTTTTAATAGCTTTAAAATTTATCTATTACTCCTGCTTTTAACTGTTTTTTTGTTGTTGTTTGTAATTATGCTGTTCTTTAAAAAAAAAAAGTTTTGTTTTTATGTAAAACACTTTGGGTTGCCTTGGTATGAAATGCGCTACATAAATAAAGATGCCTTGCCTTTTGTTACAGTCTCCTAAACACAAATTCATTTAGCAAAGACTCAACCGGAAGACTGTGGCATATTGAAAGCGACACCACAACCAGGTATATTTGAAAGCAATAATTAATTTTTATTAAGGCAAATAAGTGTTCGCTAAGAAAACAAAATTATGAGAAAACAAAAAAGGACTGAAGACCTGAGCCAAAAGATTCAAAAGGTGGGAAGGTACTGAGCCCCACACAATGGACCGTAATGGAGGTCTCCAGCCCAAACTAAAACTAAAACAAAAATGACAAAACTCCAGACAATCTTAACAGGGAAACCAAAACCTAGGAGAAGGCAAGAAAGCAGACAAAAACAAACAAAGGAGCTTGCTGAGATGTATAACAGGTATCCAAAAATAAACAAGATCATCAGCAACGTTACTGATTATTTTTACATCACATTTTTAATGCCTAAAACCAGCGCAAATGGGTAAATCCCTGTTTCTGCATTTAGATGTATACTGCCTGCAGAGCGCCCCAGAAGCAGCTCTCGCCTCGTACGACAGCTGGTGAACAAAAACAAGTTCAGCACAGATGGAAAACTGCGTTGGAGAGCAGAGACGTGCTCTTTTTTTTTTTTCTATAAACATAAAATTAAGAGTCAAATTTGGCCAGCACTGAGGCGACAGACACAGTAAGAGCACCAATAATGAGTAAAATGAACAAGAGGGATGTCATAATGGAAAGGGAAGAAGCAGTGGCACCATAATCACAACTCTCATTTTCATCTATATCAATTAATGCCTGTCTCTGTTTTTTTACTCTCTCTCTTTATTTAATCTTAATTTAATGAGCTTTATTGGCATGACTGCACAGTGATAATATTGCCATTAGCATAATCTTATTTACGAATGAATCCATCACAACAATCATGAATATCATTTAAATATAAAAGCAGAAATCTCACAGCAGGTGGAAAATTAAACAGCAGTAACGTCAAACTGCAATCAAGAAAAAAAGGACATTTTGTCATTGTTATTGTGTTCATGTTATTTTAATTACAGCTGTAACTATTGTCTGAGCTATATTAAAGTCAACCTTCCTCTGTTCTGTCACAAACGTCAAAATAAATAAGGGTTTCCTTGACAAATGTTTTCACTCGCCGCTCTGATCTGTCACCGACTGAAATCAGGTTGTGTATTTCAGCAGATTGATTAAATGCAGTAATCATAATCTTATTTCTTTCAATTTGTTAGGCTTTGTTTTGCCTCCAGTCTCAGTAAAATATTATGAGCTAAAAGTAATTTATTTCATTCTAATTTGCAAATTAATTTGAACTGGGATATCCTCCTCCTCTTCAAACATTATCAGCTGTTATTTCCCAGAAGTACCTTATCGAATTACAGCTGCAATATCTTTGAAACGGTGAAAAAGTGTGTGGTCGTCGTTTGTTCATTTAGTCTTTGGTTGATTTGCATTTTATTGCAGGGACTTTTAAAAGAAAAAGAGGGATTAAAAAATGTAGATAACTGAAGATTGGACCTCACTTTCCGCTTCTGTAATGTTTCTTTGTTATCCTTGATAAACACCCTTGTTAGATGCCTTTACTCAACTTTCACTGAGCCCCAACTAACTCTTTATTACACTTTTAAATGATCCTAAACTAAGGCCAAATTACAAAGCTCTTTACTACGACTGAACCAAGGCTCTCTCACACTACTTTTTTTAGATGAACAGCAAAATACAGTCAAAAACTTAAAGTCTACTTTCTTTTTGGATTAAATTTTGAATAGAAACTGCAGAGTTAATAGGAAACAGAGGCATGGTTGTGGTAGAGAAACTTGGCAGTGTAATGGTGCATGTCACCCCTAATGAGAAACACTGAGGTTCCAGTAATTTGTTTACTTGAGTTAAAGCCAAACCTCACAGTACTGCATGACTGAGTCAAACCCAAAGTCCCTGTTAGAATTAGCATTTAAAATAAACCTGTTATTTATGTGTGTGCTGTGAAAATGGCTGGCTGTGGATTCCCGAAAGGAAGGCAGAAGTTGGGACTGTCAATCAAATAATGGACAAAGAGTCAGGAGTTGTGGAATAAAGTTGTTTGTAGTTCAAGGAAAGTTTCCGGGATGATGTGAAACTTTTCAACTTTATAAAACAACGTCTTGTTAACCTCAAAACATTTTTAAATCTGGTCCGTGGAACAATTTCATCTGGCCCACAAGATCATATCATATTTGTATTATTATTGGCCCACCAGTATGAGGTCTGCAGATTTCCTCCAGAATTATAATGTAAACTTAAGCACCATTATTTAAAATATCCTTTATAAACCATGAAAATCTGGGAAGGTAAAGAGAAACGAAGATTTGATAAATAGTCAAGAATGTGGGGGAAAAAATGTGTTTTATCCATATTTCCAATTTTGCATCTCAAGATTACAAGTCAAACATGATTTGACTTTTTATTTTGTGCTTTGATTTTTTCAACTCAGTATTTAGATTTATGTCATTTTAATCCTTTAGATTTCAACTTTAAGTCATATTTTGACTTTAAACTCTTGATTTCAAAATGATCTCATATTTCAACCTTTCAAACTTATGATTTTAAATTTCTCATGTATTTGCTCTTTAAAAGCATTGTTTTTCTATTTTCAATATCGTGTTCTGATCTTTTGAACTAACCTATTGGATTTTTTTTATTTTATCTCAGATTGCCTATAAATTTATCTTTTTTACTTTTTGAATTTTCAAGTGGTTTATGATCATCGCTGATTTTGTTATATGTTTTGAAAAGGAGGCTGACGGTTGAGGTTAAATGTTGACCCTGTTGGCCCTCAGGTTAGACGTAAATCCAGATTATGGCCCTTGCTGTGGTTGAATTTGACACCCCTGCTTTAGGGTAAAACATGAATTGTTTAAACTAAATTAATAACCATAAAAGTTTCTGTTTTTAATCATTTTAAAACATTTTCACAATGATTTGGTACTTGTTTTTGCAGATAGCTTTAGGCAGAATGGGTAAATGTAATTTATTTGTTTATGTGCTTTAAGTGTGTATAGATACACAGCCACCCCTGCTATGCCACTGCCCAAGTTTGAGCCCCCCAGTCCAAAATGTCTTAAAGCACCCCTGCTCAAAATATCAACCAGGAACAAAACCCTGATACAAATGACTAAGTTAGACATCCAAATTTCTTGACCTTGTGATGAAGTTTGTGAGATTTCTGAAAAATCTGTTGTCCTATTCACAAGTTCAATTTTCTAGATATGTGGTTAACAAAACAATTAAAGTCTAACAGTTTTCTTTTTACATCGCCTTTCCCTGACAACTTGATAGCTCAGTCATCTTGACTCTGTCTGTCAGGCTCTGCACTTCTGTCTCTGATTGTCGATCACTGCAGAACGGCTCTCTCTTCCTCTAAATGGAAAAAGCTCTGATTTTTCCCTACATGGTGCAGAGACGTCCTGACCCTGGTGCAATCACTCAACAATCACAGCCTTTCTGTGCTTTATCTATTGAAGAAATCACAGCTTGACCCTTGTCCTAATCCCTTGAGGTCCACTGTTTCTTTAAGAGTCTGTTGTGGACACCTGCCTGCACGTTTGTTCACTTCCAGTTTGCTGGAGAAGTCATGAATATTTACTGCTGTATAGTGATAAGGATTCAAAATGAGTGAGCAAAAAACTCAAATACTCACTGACATTTTTGTGAACTGAAGAGCTAATGGGTGAGTTTCATCTTAGCGTCAGACAAGTTGACTTTGAGAGGTAAAAAAAATCCTCCAGCAAATGCACCACTTAACCACTTATAGAGAACAAAATGTGCTGGAGACCTCTGACTCTGAGCTTTTAAAATTGCACACCTGTTTCACACACTTTGGTTCAGATAGAGACACTTGACTCGCCTACAGAAAAGCTCTCAGGTTTCACAGCCAGATGTTTCAATGATAGATGAGAGCTACGGGGGGAAGTTAAGTGTCTCTAATCGATCAGTTTGGTCTACTTCACAAGGAAACGTCGCCTGGAATTCAGAGACGTTTTTACTTTGAGTTTACTTTGAGTCTATGATATGAGGACGAGACATACAGCTGTGTGAAGTCAAATCCAGATGGCAGACCGTGAAGATTGTTTACTTTTATATTAACTTTAAGGGAGAGGAAAAGCTGCTTCTGCTGTTATGGTTTCAGGTAGATGACTGAGTGTGTAACTTTAGCACAGAAGCTAGCGCACAATATGGAAATATTTAAAAGGGAAGCCCTCAGAGACCCCACTGGAGCATAAAATGTGTTATGTATGGAGGAGCAAGGCCGTGCAAAGCTTTAATAACACAGTGTATTTTGGTTGTTTAGTGACAGAATTATACACTTGGGTGTCATCTGCGTAGAAGTGGTAATAAACATGATGATTAGCCATAAACTGTATATACTATGGACAACTTGGTTCCGCCTCTCGTCTTATATTAATTGGAAGCCGAATTGCTCTCGATATTTCCGGGATTTTCTCCACTTCCTGGAACCAACACTAGGATTGTACACATTCGGCGGGAGAGTCGCCAAGAGTCGCTTTGATGACGCTCGGCTCAAACAGCGTATGCCCCAGGTGAGCTACGTAATCTTCGTACGTACATAGGTTGTATCAAGTGCCAATAATAGAAAACATATAATAACTTTTAACTTTTAAAAACAGAGCTGCACAGAGAAAAGAGGACTTGAGAACAAACCAGTCTTACAGAAACTACGTGTCAACACCAGAAAAATGTATATTCTGTGTAATTAATTTCTTAAGTTTGTCCACAGCTCCATAGGAATTGCTGGAGGAGGCAGGGTTTATGACCTATACTGCAGCCCATCACCAGAGGGTGCTGTTCTCGACGGCGTCCATTATATATACAGTCTATGTGATTAGCATGTAGAGAGAATAAAACAGGCCCTAGAATGCTTCCTTAAGGA